CGTGGTACACAGGTGGCGGCGGGGATTTGTATTTGTAAACAGGTGGTGGTGGCGAGCTGTAGTGATAGACTGGCGGGGGAGGAGACTTATACTTGTAGACCGGGGCGGGAGCATGATACACTGGAGGAGGTGGTGACTTGTATTTGTAGACTGGTGGTGGTGGGGAGCTGTAGTGGTAGACAGGCGGAGGTGGGGATTTGTATTTGTAGACAGGAGCAGGAGCGTGATAAACAGGTGGGGGAGGAGAAGCGTACTTGTAAACCGGTGGTGGAGGGGGCGGAGATTTGTACTTGTAGACTGGAGCAGGAGTCTCGTAAACAGGCGGGGGCGGAGACTTGTACTCGTAAGGCGACGCCTCGACCTGTGCAGCAAACGCAAGTGCGATCACCACCAAACTCAGAGCTGCTGTTGCCTCCATTGGCATTCTTGTCCGTCGGGGCGGCCCCATGGTCTCGGGCTCTCTTCTCTTTCCCTGCTGCTGGAAGAAGCAAAAACGAACAGAAGGAAAAACATCAAGAACAGAACGTCAGAAGGCTGTTCGAGCAGTTCGAGAGCAAGCAAGTACAGGCGAGCTCTGCATCGCAGGCAAGGCACACACATTGCGGAATTGAAGAAGCAGAAGCTTACCAGCGCTCTCTCAGACACAACAGAAGATTCCTGAAAAGAAATCTCCCCTTTAGTCCCGGCTTCTCCTCCTCCTCCACGAAGAAGGAAGTGTTTCTCCCTGAAACCTTCTTGCTCTTCCGGTGGATTGCCTCTGGGACTTATATATACTGGCGGGGACTAGTCCGAAGTCTTCTATGGCGACTTGGGGCCCAGTAAACTGTAGCAGCAGCTAGACGGTAGTAGTCTCGACGCTCGTTACAACATGGCAAGTGTGTGAGAAGAATGAACGAACGTGAGAGCCACGTTCCCCAGACGGCCGGCCTTTGGAGATTGTTATTCGCCAATTCTCCTCGTCTCTACGGCCAGCTGGTTTCTTTAGTGAGTGCAGCTGTGGGCCATTTTAGCAGCTCGGGAGTAAACTACACTTGGTAATGGCCAGGACGCAGCTGGATGCAACGCGGTTCACAGTATCACGGTAAAGCCTTGATCTTCTTTTTGCCAGTTTAAGAGTAGAACCGGTCCTATGCTCGCCGTGTCTCTTTTGTTTCGTTCTTATTTTTCAGATCACAGATTGTTTTACAGCGGGTGCCTGGCAGAGGCGAAGCTACAGGCGTGCTTCTTGTGCCAGAGGGGAGTTTCTTTTCTCTCATAGGATAGTTATTTTCTTCTTTTCTTTTTGGTTTTTTAAGTTCTCTTTCAGAATCAGTGGTGGCATCGCAGGTTCGATCCCTACACTTGCTTTAGCACCTTCGTTTTGCAGCTCTGATCTTCTGAACGTGCCACAGTCTGCTACCGCCGCACAGGTCTCTGAAGTGTTTCGTTTTTTTCTTCATGAGAGACTGAACTGTAGCGTTTGATTGACAAGGAATGTGTAAACAACACTCTTACCGATTTGACCTGCTTGGATTGATACATATCTCATATCTCTGGGAGGCGTCCAGGAGGCTGCAGTGGTACTATAACCACGTGAAAGGAGTCTCGAAATGATTGTAAGAACAAACAAGCTTGGCATGCTCGAGTAAAAGAGCGAAGGAAATATGCTTCCATGATGACCACAGAATGTAAGTTACATTACACTACATGGTGGCGGTACTCAACTCCAACCTCGAGTAAGATCATGTTTGTTTGAAATAGTTTCATTTTTCTCGTATCGGAAGAACTTTTTTGTTTTTAGTAGCAGCAGACAACAAGAAATTACTGGGAGCCACTACGGAAAGCTGAAAACTTTCCTGTAGAGTGTCCGTGTCCTCATGCGATGATGGCCTCCACCGCTTCTCGGGAATGTAAGAAAAGAAAAAAACCAACTTTCGAGGCGGAATCTGTAGAATCGTGGAAACGTAAGGAATCGGAACACGAACGCTGACCGAAAGCGAGACATTTTAACCAGGAGCATTCCAGGTGGGTTTCATTTTCTACCCTTGGCTCAAACATTGTTTATGTTATTCCGGACAGTCCTGGAGAAGCGAACAAGTCTCCACGGGACAGCGAGACAGGGGAGAGCTGGTCAGAGAAATGGTTTCCCGTGAATCCGAATGTTGACTAAAACTCCAGAATCTCGTCACTTATGCATTGGTGAGTGACGCTAGCAGGGGCCACTGGAATCGATCTCTCTTTCCGGATTCAAAGGTATGATAATTGTCGCAGTTGCTTGCTCGTCCTTCCATAATATTCCCGTGGAATTTCTCTAGAAAACGGCTCGCTCCGGGACCTTCGCAACTTCACCAACTTAGTGAGTCCTTACTTTACTTCCCTACTAATGAGCTCGATTCATTCCGCAGGCGAGAGAATGCTTTCCTGCCTGGAAAACTTCACGAGGAACTGGAAAAAACCAGTGTGGCTTTGATTTTCTAACGAGCCACTTCAACACAGCCTTAAATGCGGACGTTAACGAAGATGATAGGCTTCCAGACAAATGTTTTCCAATCGCTGAGCCCAAGAGGTGGCCGAACGGCATCGTTGAAACCGATGGGAAACGACGAGCGGTCCAGTTGCAAAGGAAAAGCTTGACCCGTGGATGGTGTCCCTTCAACCGTTCGCATAGGATACTACGTGGAACTCGGGCACTCGACATTTGGATTCCAGCTCAAGCCTATGAGCGCGCACCGGCAGCTCGCGGGGGACGATGAACTAGGCTGATGTCTGAGTGCGATACTTTATTCCTGATAACCTGGGAGGGACCCTACTACTTTTGTAAGTACTGCAATCTTTCTTCTGTTTTCTTTCACTCCTTTTGAAAACAGTTTACCTGGCTGATCGATCTGTTAACTCCTTTGCAGTGGCAGCAGCACGTACTTAGGACGCTGATGAAGAGCACCTTCCCTTCGGCTGTCGTCGATCATGTTCTCTGGTCCACACTGTTCAAGGTACTTATTCTTACTAGTCTGGGAAAGAGAGGGAGAGATTTCGTCCACTTCTCTCGTGAGTCGTGAAAGCAGCCGTCGTCATATCGGTCCTGAACCTGTGCCATTTATTCCCGCGAACAAGTGTCTGCATGACCCTCTTGACGAGCAGCGGCATCGTTGCTAATAGTCAACATCGTCGTCGAATCTTTGTTTTCCTTTGCTTGCCTTATACTTTATGATCTCTTCCTTGTTGTTTCTTCTTGCTCATTGACGTCTTGCCTCACTAGCAACTTCCAGCTTTCCTTTTTGTCCTGCTTATTGCAGCTCTAGACAAGGTTTTACGTGTCCTAGGCTGGCCAGTACTGTGGCCCGACGTTTACAGGAGCTGGGAAAACAATCCCAAGGCCGAGTCTTGTACCGTCTCTGCCATGCGGCTCGCAATGCGCGTGGCAAGTCCCAGCCAAAAATGTACCACTGCTGACGGTACAGAGCACAAACCAGAGTCTTGTATTATCTTCACGCTCGTCACGCCTTCGTGCCAAAGTCCGGCAAGAACCAGTTGGAGCAACCCCACGTCATCTTGGAGTGACACTGGAATGCTTTGTTGTTCAAGTTTCTGCTTCTGTGGATCCGGGCCTGACGTGGTCATGCCACTTCCAAGATTGCTGGAGACTGATGACGTGCTGCAAACCGGAGCTCTTGACGAGCTCTGGTCGTCATCCAGTGAGTGAGACACCATTGTCGTCTTTGTTTCAGCTGCAGAAACCCACTGGAGGCAGTCTTTGATGCTGTCTTCGAAGCTCTGGACCTGAGAGTCTGGCTGCTCCCGCTCGCCGGACGTAAGCCTGTGGATTTGCAAGTCCTTGACGAACAGCGTGTGCTGCAGCTGGAGGATCTTCTTCTTCCGGTGATCGCTAAGTTTGGCCATCTTGTCCATATCACTGTACATGGCACAGGAAAGAACGAGAGGTCATTCGAACGAACTCTACAAAAGCGATGAAACAAAAGAAGTTTTTTACTTGAGGAGAGTCTCGATGAACATGTTCTGCTGCAAGGTTTGCTCCTTCTCCTCCTCGAGCTGCTTTGACACCGCCTCCTTCTCGTCTTGCAGCGCCGCCACCGCCGCATTGAGCTGCTGCTCTCGCGCAGCCGCCGCCTCTCTGGACGACTTCATCGCTTCTCTCTCGGTGAGCACTATCCTGGCCAGCGGAGCTAGGAGAAACTCGTTGAGACGATTTATCCGGGCATGAACGTCGTTATCTCTGTTCTCGTTCGCAAGAACCGCGATATCCTGGACGCGATTTTTTCCAGTAAGACCAAAACCTCTTTTTTATTCTAATTCCTCGTGACTTACCATGAGAAGCGAGCGCTTGAGAGCCGCATTCCACTGGCGGGGATACGTGCTCATCACCTGGGAGAGAAGATAGAGCTCGTTGATGGACATGTCCGCTATGGAAGATCTCTCAATCCACCTGGTTTGCAAAGTAAGCTAAAGATCTTTTTAAACAAAAAATCTCATAGATAAGAACAAACCATGTCCAGGGTTCTTCCATCCATCTCGCGAAGCTAGCTCGATCACAAGGATCACGCCTTGACAACCCAAACCGGCGTGATCACGCAGCAAGAAAAAATCCCTCTCCAAAATCTTCGAAACTTAGAGATAATTCGCTACACTCCACCAAAACCATTTTAGCCCAGCCAATTGCAACGAAAGAACTAAACCCAGCCACAAATTGGAAAGAAAGAACTAAGCCGCTAGAAGAAACTTACCAGGAGAGAGCCTGCCAGAGAACCATGGAATCGACCAAGAATCGACCAAGAATATAGGGACAATCCAACGGCCATAATTTAAACTGTAGAGCTTTTAACATTATCTATCAAGTGGCCACTATATCTTTGGCTTGGAGCACTACTTCCTTCTTTGTCACAAATTTTAGAGTAAGATCGCTACTTCTCTCGCGTGTTTTTCCACCTCCGGCAAGAGAGGTCGCGCAGTAATTGATATCAGCCGTGCCAATCTCCAGGCCGCTCACCATCACCTCATAGTTTCCAAAGGAATTGGTGTATCCATAGGCGTCCTTAGCGTCTGTGCCTGTGAAGCATTCCACCTTAACTCTCGCACCTTGATAAGAAAGAAGGTAGTCTTAGCCATCTGTTAATCGCATCTGATAAGCTTGCTTACCTTCGAGTCCTTTGTCGATCTTGTACACGACCCTGCCTTGGATGACCAGCTTAAGTGGAGAAAACTCGCGCTTTCCAAGGCATGGATGCCTTGTAGGATGCCTGTGAGGTGGTGGTGGCGATGGCGGAGGTGGCGACAGGTAGAAGAATGGAGGCGGCGGGTGGTGTTTGCGATGAGGAAAGGGAGCCAAGTGGTGGTGGTGCGGCGGCGGCGGTGGAGGTGGCGATGGTGGCGGAGGTGGCGACGGCGGTGGAGGCGATGGCGGAGGTGGCGACCGGTAGAAGAATGGAGGCGGCGGGTGGTGCTTGCGATGAGGAAATGGCGGCAAGTGAACACGCTGATCCCCGCCACTCGAGAGCTCACGAAGATCATCACTGCCGCTGCTCTGCGTAGAATCCCAGCTTGTGAGAACCAGCAAGACAAGCAACCAAAACACTCTCATTTTCTTCACTCTTTTGAGTAAAGCAAGCACACTCCAACACAAAGCGGTGACTAAATACTTATCAGAAAACGTACCGGTTGCTTCAGAGTGCTGATAGAAATCATGAGAAGCGGTGGTGGCGGTTTGAAAAATACTTCTTTTGTCGCATGATCATCGTTTCCATCACCTGGACTGCTCTGTGACGCGGTGGTAGGCGTAAAAAACACGAAGCTATCTCTCTCCCTCTTATTAACAGCGAGTGCGAATTATACAAAGAATTTACAAGCTGACCTGACCCGAAAATTCCAAATATGTACCGTACCAAATGTTTTGAGCGGAGGCCTCTAAAGCTGTTGCTATGATACAAACATATCCCGTAGTCTCAATCCAAAGGAGGAATGTGAGAAGGCCCCGGTGTTACCTTGACTCGAGGAGATTTCGCGCCGGATGGAGCTGGCAACGAGTAAGTGACACCGGCGGTGGAGCCTTCGATCAGGCCAGCTATTCCAGCCGCGGCCATCTGAGAGTTTGATGGCAGGAACAAGTCGTGCTTCTGGTCTTTGTATGCATTCCACACCTGGAACGTGGAGTTGGAAAAGGTGAGGACAACGAAGACCAACGAAGAAAGTGTCTCTCATACCTCGGACAAATTTAAAATCTCCTGAACTCTGGCAGAGTGAGCGCCTTCCTCGCCAAAGGCACGTAGAATCTGTTATAGAGCAGGGTTGTTAGAGCGCAGAGCGCTTGGCGTTAACTCATAATAGAGAGAAGGACGAACCTCGACGGCTAAGACTCGCCCAACTGATGCCTCGGACTCGTTCCACTTCATTTGCTGGCACAAACCGTTTCTGCCACCGGCTCGCCAATCAAGCAATCCTAGCAAGATCTCCACGAGTCCAACCCTGTAGAATGGAGACATTAACATAAACACAAGACGAAAAAGAAGAAAAAAGAAAAAAAAAGAAAAAAAAAAAAGCTTACTTCAATCCTTGGGCCACTAGAGCATCACGCGCACGATTACCCGCGGCCGTCACTCGCTTTAATGTTTCCAAAGCGAGAACACTACCGCCTTGCCATCCAATGGCCTTCACCAAAAGAGGAACAACCTGAAACGTATTACAAGGTTCCAGTTATGACAAGAGTATAATGTTTGCTAGAATTGGTACCTGTGGAGAGCCGAGTCCAGACGTTGCCATGGCTTCGGCACACACTGTGCTGGAAGCAAGTTGATGAAGAACTCGCAAGCAGCTCAATCTGACGCGTTCCTGTAGTGTTTGGCCCTTGTCACCATCGTCCAAATCCCAAGACTCGTCCTTGATACCACCAGTCGAGACCATTATCTCTGCTGACGACATAATCTCCCTTCGTCCTTCCTTGGCCATAGCAGCCACGAGTTTTGGAACATATCCCAGGTGACCGGCATGATCAGCAAGAGCGGGCTGAACCCGTAGAAGCGACACTAGTGCTGCTGAGAGCAGCAAAGGAAGTTCGGCATCTGCAGGTTGAGGTCCTCTTGCATGAGTCGCGGCAGCGGCGGCTACATACTGATCCAGAAGTCCTTCCAAAAACCTCTTGGGATTCCGAAGAGGAAACTTCGGATCTTTCAGGAACAATCTTACGTACACGCCGCCAACCTGCACAGCAAGAAATAAAAGCGTTACGATAGATCAAAGATCGAGGAATTAAAAAAAATCTACCTGAGGCTCATCACGCATATCTTGCTGACCAGCTGGTTGTTCCGGTAAGTCCCACTCCAAAACTCTTCCTTTCGTTTGCTCCCGATAGAGATCAGCAGCCATAGTGGCGAGTTGCGCACTCAAAGAAGTTGCCATAGCAGGAGTCCATACAAGCTCAGGAGTCTCAGTAGTTTGCTCAAGTGCTATCACAACAGCTTCACCAGGTCCGTCCCTGACGACAGAGACTAAGCCATCCGGCAAAAACCGACCGAGAGTAATAGCTACTCTTGGACCATGCATAGGCTGGCTGAGAAGTTTACCCAACAAAGAAGCTGCTGCAGCCCGCTGTTGACTGGGTATTTCTTCTGCAATGTGAAGTTAGCCCAAATTCTTAAAAGGTCCCGGACAAACCTTGAAGGGGTAAAAGAAGCTGGAGAATGTAGACTACGCCTCCATGCTTTGCAGCTGCCCAAGCAAGCTCAGAAGTACTTGCAAGAGCATACAAAACACGTAGCGTTCCATCTCTGCAGGCCGGTGAAGTCAGCAGCAGTTGCAAAAGTAGTAGTAATCCAGATCTGTCGCTTGCTATGGCTTCCACGCAGGGAGCGAAGGACGTCAATTGTGAGAGGATACTCAAACATAGCTCCGGTATTTGACCACTTCCAGGCTCTGTGTCCAAAAGGCACTCCAATAACGGCGCCACTTGCTCCTTGGTGGAAAATACAGAGCACAGTCCAGGGTTTGCAGTCAGTAAATTCTGAAAAGAAAAAAAAAAGATGATAACAAAACACAAAAACAATTGAGCGTCATTACCTGCAAGGACGTAAGTGCCATTGTCAAGTTTTCAACAAGTATAGCGCCGGACTCCTTTTTGTTTCCCTCGGAACTTTCTTCTTCACCGTCAGGCTGCGATATAGTTGCGTGTTCTTTGTCAGCGTTTTTCCTCTGTTCGACGATCGCACAGATGTATCGCATCAGATTTTCACAGAATAGATCCGGTTCGCTAATTTTGAAATCTGGCTGCTCGTTGTAAACTCTGAGATAGACGTCACCAACGTGCAGTTCGTTGCTCAAAGTCTTATATTTGAACTCCTGGGCAGCAGACATGTCGAAAGATCCATCTGGACAAGGAGAAACACGTTCCTTCTCAATAAACTTGAGAAGCTCCGACCTTGTCGTGGAATTCCAAATTATCTGTGCAATTGGCAAGAATAAGGAGCTGAAAAGTCCTAAATAAAACAACTCTTGTACCTCGGGCGATTCCAAGTTCGAGTTAAGCTTAAGCAAAAGCTCCTTCGGGGACTCCTCGCGGAGCAGTGATGCTAGCTTCGGTGTCAACAACGATCGCAATACAGTTGCTGCCGTAGGATTGTGGGGACTACTAAGTTTGTCATCCAAAATACCCCATATTCGAGACAAAGCCTTGGCTGCTAATACTGCATGTGTATTCTTGGCAGCCTGGACACTATTGCCAACAGCATGAGGCTCCGTCGCATCGCCATCTTCTGCGGTAGAGTCGTATTGCAAAAGCAAAGGTAATAGATACCTGCAGTTTTATCTGTAAGTATCAGCACATAAACACTTTAACAAAGCATACCAGAAGACTCCAGCATTAAGCAGCTTATTCTGAAGATCTTGAGCAGCAGCAAGTAGACCAATGGTTTGCAGAGCAGCGTCTACAGCAGAAGTTGCAAGCTCCAGTTCAGCACAATGTACAGCATCTTCCACGAATCCCGGACACATCACTATTTCCTGCAGGGCGCTTCCAAATGTACTTATTACGGCGAAAGACCGCATCACGTTCGTGACTATGACCGCAGCTGGATCGTTTGGTGCTGTGTTCGGCTGCACAACATACATACAACGCGAAAGAAGCGTTGCTAGAAGAGGCACTCCACCATCTCGCACAAGCTCCTCACCATTTAAGGCTGAAGACAAGCACCTGCAGGAGCAAAACGGTCAGAACCAGCAAACTACTGACCGAACTTGGAAACTCACGTTAACCATGCGAGCTCTGTTGCAGCTTCCAAAAGCGGAGCCCGTTCGGACGAGAGAAAATTGTTGTCCTCGCTATCAACGGTTATCGCTTGCAGCAGCATCGGATATCCAGCATATTTGAAAGGTTCCAACACGTCTCCGTATCTTCTAAACAGTATACACTGCCCTTTCAATAACAGCCTTAATCTCCATGGTTGAGGTCCCTGAAGTCCTTGCAAAGTAGCCTGAAATAAACCATCAGAGCTGAGACAGTTGCCTACTGCCACCTTAACACATACCTGCAAACGCTCGTATGCTTTTTGGACTGCAACGAACTTTTCTCGGCCTTCCGGGTTTTTGTCTGGATGATATTTCATAGCCATCTTCCTGTATTGTCGTTTAAGAAGGTCCTCGTCAACCCGCCCAGAAAGTTTACTAGGTACTTTGCCTTCTTCATCTTCAGGGGGCTCAGCGTTGTGTGAAGATGTCTCATCCTCGTCCAAGGAAATTTCCAAGATAGAGCAAGCTTCTTCCTCCGAAAGATCCATTGGACGTCTCGTGAGCTCTTCACGCCACATACTAAGCAAAGACTGGAGGAACTCCACATGTTCGACAATCGGCCAATCCGGGAACCTGATCTCGTCGCAAAGATTTCGAAGGTAATAACGATGACACCACATTTCATCTTGCAGCTCTGGATATGTCACAGGAGGCATAGGTGCATATTCATATAAGCAATGGGAAAACTGAGACAACTTTGCCGGAAACTCTCCAAGGTGTTTTAGTGTCTGCAGAGATAAAGTCAGACAAAAAGTTCAAACAACAAGAGTCCAACGCACCTGATCTATAAGACGCTCCCCACGCATCTTATGAGTCCAAATTATTTCTGGTGTATCCGAATCAGCGACCATTGCCAAAGCAAACGAAGGGGAGCCGCTTCTTTCCAGCACATATAACAATGACTCGGGCAGTAATCCACCGAGAACACTTCGTTTGGCCAAAGGTAAAGAAGAAGAAACAGCTGCTTCCGCACCACCATGAAATGCTTGATGAACATGAGTGACAGCAAATAGACTGGCGATGGAACTCAGGTTTGAACCTCCATAAGAGAGTGCAAAATAAAAGGCACCAGTGTTGTAAAGCCTGACCATTGCTTGAGGATTACGAGTAACGATTGCCTTCAATAAAGAAGCTGCTCCTTCCACGATGGCAGGCTCTCCCGTTAGCATTGCCTGCATAAATCGGCGTCAGGAAAAAAAAAAAAAAAAACATCAAAATAGCTTCAGACACCCCACCTGTGCAACATGCGGAAGGCAGCGGGAGCTTGAAAGAATTCTCTTGACTCTAGGAATTGGTACAACAAGCTCCCCAGCGTCATCTAGATCGGAGTGTACAGAAACCATGCTGTGCAGAATAGACAAAGCAACTTCGCCAACCTGAAAAAAAAAACGTAAGCTTATTCAAGACGCAATTCAAACGAACGCACCTGTTTTGGTGTCAAAATACCCACGCGGCCAGATAAAGCCCACCGCAACTCACGAATACTTCGCAGCCGCTTCCAATCAGTCATCCCTGATCCCCAACATTTTGAGTTCCAGCCTATTTCTTGCTTAGACCATGCCCGCCTGATGGAGTCCTTTTCAACAGGTCCAACTTGCTTTCCTTCCAGGTCAACATAGTGCCAGACTTTCTGAGGCTCGATGAACGCAGAGGCAGCAATTAAGTTCGATTGCAGAGGTATGGACGTTCTCTCTGAAGCTTCATGGGAAGTTGTCAAAAGGTCCACGACCAAGGTACATCCCCCAACTGAAATGCACGCCTCAGCATTCGCCGGCACCTTGACTAGAACCTACGAGACACAGCAAAAACATGAAAGAAACAAATATATATTTTCTTACTTTCAGGAGAAGTAAAAGTCGATGCCGGAGTGCTCTGTCATTCGTTCTGTCAAGTAGAACCGTGATATGTGCGGTGCCATCAAAGGCACCGATAGCTTGACAATGCTGCTCGTAGACAATGGTCATAGCTCTTGCACATAGTTCTCGCACGGAAAAGCCACCACCACCACCAAAGCCGTCAAGCCCAGCCATATCGCACCAGTCCCCAGACGCAACTAGTTCACTTGGATCGGCCCCTTCCACTGTAAGACCCATATCCGCGTCACAAAGAAACCGGTGGTAGAGTGCTCTGAAGAAAGCAGCAGGATCTCTCAACGGGAAGTCTTGAGCATGGCTTTCCGACCCTTCACCACCTTCGAGAAGCAGCCTCAAGTAGTACTGTCCAACACAGACTTCTTTGGAAAGACTCGGATATCGGACGGAGAACTCGGCATAGTTCCAAGATAGCTGGCTCAGAGCAGTCTGATTCTCGTCTGGCACTGCAACACCGAGCGCCTCGATGCTGGTAGATCGTTCCTTTTCAACATCTAAGAGGTGGACTTCTGTAGTCAGTGCCTCCCGTAACTCTTGCCGGGTTCGTTCGTTCCATATCAGATCAGCTCGATTGTGATCGAGGCTGAACTCTCGCCAAAACTCGGGCCAGTTACAGACCAAGCGTCCAGAGCCTACCGGCAAGCTCTCTACCACAACTTGGGCCGGAGCAGGAACTAGAGCTTGCATCGAATCCGCAGGTGATGGTTCTACAGTATCCGCAGATGACGTTATTATATGCGTCTCGTCCCTGGTTCTGGTAACTATAATGCTGTCTGTAAGCTGAGAATCGCCATTGTGCCCAGCACTTTCTGCCTCTGTAACAATTGCCGGCTTTGGACGTAGCAAACGGCCCCTCCGTCTTTGTAGAAGCCGCTTCTGTCGTCGTTTGCCGAAGATGTTCTCTTGACTGAACTCAAGCTTCAAGTCCTCGTCGTCGTCCGAAGGACGAGTATGGAGATAAGCCACGAGCCCCGGAGGTAGCACACGGGAAAGAAGATCGAGCGCAGGTGCATGAGAATCAGCCCAAAGCGCCACAAGTTGCCTGCTCACTTCCCGACGTTCACCAGGTGGCAAGAAGAATGCGTGCACCAGGTGTCTCAATAGAGCTCCATCACGCAAGGCTGCGTCTCGCATGGATTCAGCAGCAATAGCATCTTCCTCCGCAATGGTGCGCATAATAACAGCTACTGTCTCCCTCACACCCTCCGCAGGATGGCCGAAGAGTGCGAACAGTCGCCTCCGCAAACCAGCTACTTGTCTTAACATCTCGATGAAAGTCGACGAGTCTGTTGTTTCGCTTTGAGGCTCGCAGAGCATAGCTTCCAGAACTTCCACCACTGCCATTGAAAGTAACGTCGAGACCGACGGCGACTTCAGCCTGTTAACCAGAACGGTCGTGTGAAGCTGGTTACCAAACAAGGCTGACTTCGCATGCATCATGGTGGCATGCCGTTCGCCTTTGCTGTTGATTCCGAAGTTCCCATCCCCAGGCCCACCTCCAATAAGCATGGCGATCAAAGAGGACGCTTCCATTGCCACGCCTTCAGAGCCGTTTCTCAGTAATCCCATTATCCTTCCAACCGCCACTGGCATTGAGATTACCACCGAAGCTACTGTTGAAGACGAAAGTAGCCGTCTTAAGCACGCGATGAGACCTATCAATGTTCCTGCGGCCTTGGGTGACGGCGGAGGTGGCGGGGGAGCTTCTGCTGGTAGATTAACTGGTGCTGGCAGCATCGACAATAATGCCATGTATGTCACGTCTGGAACATCCGTAGATAATTGGATACCGCTATATGGAACACAGGCGTTGAATTCTCGCACTCTTCGCCAAAGTCTTGCTTTTGATCCAGGAATAGAGCCACCCTCTGCAACCGCATCTTTTGCAGCTGCCACCAAGTGCTTGAGATGAAGAACTTCACCCTCCGGTTCTGTGAATAGACGATGATGGTGCGAGCTTACTAAAGGTACTGGCACTCTTCCAGTGGGAGGATCTAAACGGTGTCCTGGCATTGTCAGCCTGGGAAGAACAGCGACCGGACGTTGACCCTGTGACCAACGTAAGTCACTAAACCTCAAAACGAAACGAACAAACCTCAGTCTGAATTAAATCCTTCACAGCCGCCAGCAAACTGTCTCTAGACGTGCTTGTATAGACCTGAAAGGGTTTTGATGTAAGAGCTTCATAGTGCACTTACCAAAGCAAAACACTTACATGGACTGGGCATCCATCACCAAACTCAATAGCAAACATCTGGGGCTCCTCAGCAAATCGAACGAGAGCTGCTGCTGACGATAGAGGCCGACCACTCACTGCCTGTTCCATCAACCATCAATGACCTGTTAACACCAGCATGCACTCAGGCAAGTTTTGAAGAAAGCTAAAAAAACAATCACGCTTGAATGCAAACTGTAGAGAAATACCTCATAGTTGTCATGTCTTCGTTCGACCAAGGAGCTCTTTGTAAGAACAAGCTTTCGGTAAACGGTATCGCCATGGTCTCCTAGTCCTCCCTTTGGCCCCAAGCCAAGCGTCAATCCAACCGTATTTACAGTCCCATGCGCGGAGGAACGAATTCTCGTTACAGACCATTCACCAACAGGAGCTTCACTTACACCAACCATACTACTGGCTAAAATCGAAAAGATTAGAATTTCCTTCTGAAGATGGCAAAAAGAATCTCTACCTCTTTGTTTAAGAAACTCCGGCGCACCAAATGTCTGGGATGAGTCAATAGTAGTCGTGACCCCCACACTGGACTTTGCTGTATTGGTCTGCAAGAGACAGATTCGATAAATTACGCAATTGAGTTCTTTGCATACCAGCTTAGAAATTATGGCCGCGTTAGACGCTCCTACGTCAGCGATGAAGGCTTTGCACTTTCTGCCATACAGAGGGCACAAAACAAAACCTCCTCCCTCAGCTCCCTTTTTGCCGTACGCATCACAGAGCAAGATGATTCCAGGAGAATCCATATCCCGAAAGTCCAAGCACCAGCAAAGATCATTTGACTTGGAATCTCGAATCTCGACTCCAATGGGCGTTACCTTCAACACCTTTACAAGTTGCACGAACCCGAGATCATGAAAAAGCACAAAAAGAGAGAGAAAAAAGAGACTCACACAAGGTGACCACTGAGAAGATCTTCGCCGGAGCCGAAGAACCGAAAAGCTCGCCACCGACGGCGCGGTGCCACCTTTGCTCCACTTCAACTTGTGTAGCTCGGTGAGAATCGCTGCACGGGACCTGTTCCTTCAGATAAGCCACCGGCATTTTATCAAAAGCCACGCACAAACTCACCTGGAAGAGAACTTGACCGACTTAAACTTCCCACGCCCATCCGTCCGGACATTGATCGTAAACTCGAGCCCCTGCTGTTGTGATGGATCCTCGCGCCCAGCCACCGGCGCCGCGCTCTCATAATCCGTGTCCAGATCATACGAATTCGTCACCTGGAGGCTCCCCGGCTCGAGCGTGATAATGCTCGACTCGGAGATACACAAAATCCTCTTGTACCGCCCGCGCCACGAGTGCTTCATCACGAGAAACCTCGCCAGGTACTCGGGCTCCTCCAGCGCAGGAAGAGCGGCGCCGGAATCCGCCGATCCATTGGCGCCTCGCTGCTGCTGCCTCGACGCTACCGCCGCGGCGGTGGTGGATTCCATTACCTGCAAGAGACGCAGCTGCCGGGGCTGCTGCCGAGGTCGCGTCCACGAAATCCACCAATTCCAACTCTCCTCCAACGCTGATCTGTGGCGGCTGGCGCTGGCGCCGCCCCCCGACGACTGTGAAGCCCCCGTCTTCGCTACGAAACCCTAGAACGTAGAAATCATAGTTCCATTTCTAGGGTTTTACAAATCCACTCTCTCGCATCATTTCGCCCAGGCTATATTTCTTTCAAGTATCACATTCGCTGCTGGTTTTTATCACATTCACATCAATAATAGGATTTACCCATTCTTTCTTTGGACCCAATCTTATCGTTTAATGACAACGTCCATTGGAGATGGAGAGGTCGTATAGTATGTAAAATTTGAACTAATGCGTGTGTTAGTAGAAAGAATTATTTGGTAGCATAGAGCTCGCCTTCTTATCAGCATTCCACCGTGATCACCGCGGATGCGTAGCTCACGCTGCTGTCTCGCGAAGTTTTGCAATGGCTTGACTGCTCGTACTGCAAGAATCTTAGCTCCAGTTTGGTGTTACAATCTTGTATCATCTGCATGCAACAAAGAAGTAAAAAAAAAATTGAGAGTTCCTTTCGACCTGGAATGCTACTAAAGCTTACGTGAAGAAGAACTCCTATGGGATGGCGTCCACAAATGGTGTTCTCGTACTCGTCCAGGTAGCTCTTGAAAGCTTCCGGATTTTTGGACTCGATGATGTCCATGCCACACTTGTCGAGAGCCTCGATGGACTTGTAAATGGGGCCACGCTTCTTGTCATAGTACGTGTATCCAAACCTGCGGGAAGGATAGATTGATGAACAAACAAGCGAGAAAAGAGACTTACCGTGATCCCCAGTGACAGAAATCCGAGGAGACGGAGAAGAAGTTAGAGGGATCGTCGAGGTACTTTGCAAGCAGCCGTCCATACAGAGCTTCACTCTCGGATGACAATGTGCCGACTAGAATGGGAACGATCTTCACGGGCACCCTTCACTTGTATGTCTAAGTCAGTAGCGAGTTCCACACACCAATTACTCTAGAACGATTTGGAAACGAGAGAGTTACCCGCTGAAAACTTTGGCGAGGTATGGCAGATGCATTTCCATGCTGTGCTCGGCCTCGTCGACATCCACACGCATCTCCTCAAACTGCCCAGTTTCCTTGAGCTCTCTGTAAACTACAAAGAACTTTCACGACTTATAGGAAATCCAATGCAAGAGAGACTACCATCTAGATCGATAGGAAGATCTCCCAGCGGAGTTTTGTAAACAGAAGTTCTCGAAAGAGCACACTTGCGAGTGTAGTGATGGTGAGATGGCCCAAGGATAAAAACTCTAGATCTGGAACAAAGATAAAATTTGAGAAAACTAGCAAGAGTCGTGCAGGAAGAGCAAACTTACACGACTTGTGGATCTATATTCGCGAATGCGAAGGCAGCGCAGCGTCCAGAATAACGATATCCAGCATGCCTGCAAGAATTGACGTTCTTGCTCGCAAGATTTTCAAGAAAGAAGAGATAATTCCCACTCACGGAGCAATCACAGCTCGCGCGTCCGGCTTCTTTGGAAGACCAGAGCCTTTGAGCCATCCATCCAGCTCCTCGCGAAGCTCCAACGCTGCCACATTCAAGAAAACCCCAATTTCACCCACAAATTCCCGAAATTCGAGACAATGCTCACCATCATCGGAGTACCAAGATCCAGCGTGAGATGCTTGACGCGCCATGGCCTCGTCGCCCCTGCCTCTCCACAATCGCCGGCAGAAGCTCAGGCAGAATGGGGCCGTCGCGCGTGATTTCCACTCAAACGTCTGTAGCCAAGAGCCCTAACTTTTTTCCCCAGAATCTAGGGTTTTATTTAGGGTTTAGCCATGGCGGGGATGAAGCGGAGGGGAGGAGCCGCACCCGGGAAAGAGAAGAGGGCGAGGATGACACTGGAAGATCAAATTGAGAGCGAGACCGTGGTTTCGAGCAGGGCGAGGTCCAAGAAATCCAAGAGCAAGCAAGAGAATGACGATGTAGGAGTTTTTTCCTGCTTGATCGAATACTGGGCTAACATTCGTGTTGTACAGTACGTGGATGCTTCTATGAGCGGCAGAATTCTTAAAGAGGCAAGGAAACAAATGAAAGAGATCCAGAAAGAAGAGTACGTCCTCGCATTTTTTATCATCTCTCGAGTGTTGAGAGGCGTTTTCTCGCCGACAGGGATGAGGAGGATGAGCGCTCAAAAGCTGGCAAGGCTTTTGAGGCTCTAGAAAAGAATGTGGCCGCCAACGAGAGTGACGATGAGGAGGATGATATCTTTGACAGCAAGAGCGAGTTTGATCCAGCCGAAGGTCACGTAAGTCGAATGAGAAAATGTTGCTCACACCTTTCTCTTGATCTTATATCTCCCTTCTCTGCAGGAGATTTCGGAAGAAGAAGAACGCATTCTTTCTATGTTCATGGCCAAGGACGCACCTCCGCAGCGTACGCTCACAGACATGATCATGAGCAAAATTCAAAACTGTAATGCTACGCAGGACCTATTGAAGGATGAAGGTACGAATCAACGTGTTTACACGCATTCCATGGAAACAAAATCGATTTTTCGCAGGAAGAACTGTTCCCGGGTTTGATCAAAAGGTCATCGACGTATATCGTGGGCAAGTTCTTTCCTCTGTTTATATTTGACATTGATAAGAACCGTGCTATGTGTACTGCAGCGTTGGGAAGCTTTTAAGCCGATACACGGCCGGGAAGTTACCAAAAGCTTTCAAGATTGTTACAGCTCTAGCCGAGTGGGAACAAGCTCTCTACTTGACAGAGCCTGAGAACTGGTCCCCAAACGCCGTGTACCAGGCAACTCGGCTTTTCGCTTCAAACTTAAACTCGCGGATGGCTGCGCGGTTTTATACACTGGTGCTGCTGCCTCGAATTCGCGAAGACATCCGGACCAACAAAAGACTTCATTTTGCTCTCTACCAAGCACTCAAGAAATCGGTCTACAAGCCCTCCGCGTTCTACAAAGGCATCATCTTTCCTCTCTGCTTGGTGAGCGTCTGATGATTCTTCCGAGCACAGAATCGCTTGCTAACTGTTTCCTTTTACTGTTTGGAATTGTCAAGTCGCAAACTTGCAACTTGCGGGAAGCCGTGATCGTCGGCAGTATCATTCAAAAGGTATCAATACCTGCGGGTCATTCAAGGTAAGTTCTTTTCCATTGTCTTCATATTGAGAAGAACAAATTAAAATTGTTTTTGTCCCAGTGTTGCGATACTTAAAATTGCCGAGATGGAGTATTCCGGTACAAATAGGTAAACGATAAACCTCTCATCTATTTTCTATAGTTTTTCTTGTTCTTTGTTTTGCAGCTATTTTTTGAAGCTTCTGCTAGACAAGAAGTACTCGCTGCCTCACCGTGTCATCGATGCTGTGGTCTCTCATTTCGTGAAGTTCACGGAAGAAGAGCGCCAGCTCCCTGTTATATGGCACCAATGCCTGCTCACGTTTGTCCAGAGGTATTCGCCGAAAAGAAGGAAGTTTCTCTCCTTTGCTCTTTATTAATGTCGCGAAAGTTTGCCAGGTACAAGAACTCTTTAACCGAGGCCGATAAGGGGAGCTTGAAGCGACTGATGCGCCATCAGAAGCATTATCTGGTGAGAGACAAGTCGAGAGAAGAAAGTTTTGTTGCTCGTCCTGGACTTGATTGATTGACAAGGTTTTGTTTGATGGAACGCAGGTCACGCCGGAGGTCCAAAGAGAACTCCAACACAGCCTGAATCGCGGCCAAAAGGAAGAAGATGATATCCTTTGGAAAAGTCTTGCTCGCATTGTTTTCTCTTCTTTTCCTTAACCTTCCACCACTTCAGCAGCCGATGATGATCGTTACTGGCGCCACGACTGAGGACGTCTGGGACTTGCCCAAGGTGGAAGTCGAAATGGAAGAGTGAGAAATGCCTCCCTCCACAATAAACGAATGAACCGCGAGCTGCGATTTTGGTGCTTCTTGATTAGTGATTGATCCAATGCAGGACGGTGTGTAGTATCTCCATCCATTTTATGTCTCGTACTGTAAAATGGTAGCTTCTTCCACCACTATCCAACTCTTCCTTTCACCATCAGCCTGTGGTGGCCTTGAGCAGCTCTGGGAAAAAGCGTAACTGTGAAATGAGAATGCGACCAGTTGTTTTCATTCTACCTGAGCACAAGTGTAGATGATGACTGTCAACCATTCCCAATCGTTGGGGCCGTAGGACGTAGAAGGGAGATCTTTACAAGCTTGCTGGAGATAGTAGAGAAGCGGTGGCATGAGCTGCATCTCATAAACCCGAGGCCCTCGACACAAGGAGCAAACACCGGGATCCCCTTGATCTTTGTTCGCTAGCAACGCACGGCCACCGAAACTATACCTGCTCTCAACCAAAGCAAGTCTCAAAAAAACATGAACTGGAAACAAACTGACCAACCTGTAGCATTGTTCCGGGTAGCAATCCAATCTCTTTTTAAACTTCAAATAAGTCCTATCAGCTGAAACGGCCCTATCGTGTTCGTATTCCTCCCCTTCCCAACACTCGTCCGCCTGAGCGGAATCGGTACCGGTACTAGCATCCAGACCGAAGTCCACAAGCCGTTCCGAGTTTTGTAGAGCGCTCACGGCTCTGCTGCCCCGGCACGGATGGGACTCATTCTGGGAATAGATGTAAAAGCATGGTAGCACTGCATTGTCACCAATCTGTCAATAGCCTCGTCCTCAAAAGAGTGCCAAGGAAATGCGAAAACCACAAGTTGTATTACCAGGTAACTCGGCCTCAGTAATCTCCTCGCTTGACGTTGGTTCATCCTCATTGGACTCTCGTATCTCATGGCGCGTACTGGCCTGTGACTGCGGTCGAGCCGCCGCAGCATATCCGGCCTCGAGTAGAGCTTCTTCCAGTTCGTGCAATCCCATGCTCCCAGCCTCTTCCCCATTCTCAGCCTGAGCTATAGGAGCCCACGAGGAGTCGTCCTCCCACCAATCATTCGAGTTTTGATCGTCTCTAGCGGATGAAGCTTCCGCATCATCACCAGACTCACCGGTTGAAGTCGATGGCGTATCGCTAGCCGGCGAGCACACAGGTGACGAGGGACCATCCTTCTGCAACCTCAATGTTCTCCAACTGGAATGTTCTTAGTTAGTAAAAGCTAAGTTGCATGGAAGAATGCTAGCAAGTTGAATATATATGGCTTTGTTTGTAGAAAGAACCTGAGAGGACTGATACCGCAGCTAGACGTGGGGCATCCAAAAATAAAAAGCACACGTTCTTCGATCTTGGTATTGTTGATCGACAACGGGGCATACACCTGCAAATGGAAACAAAAGCAAACTTTGAGATAACCTGGAAAAAGCTGGCCTGGAAAAAGCAAAGATAATCGCAAGCAGGGAATAGGCATCACAGTATACATGAATTAAACCTGTGCAACGAGTCCCAATTCACCACCGCAAACACTGCATTTCAGCAAGCTGCTGTCGATCTCGTCAGAATCAAGCGGCCAATCCTGTTCCAGAAACGCGAGCTCCAAGTGAAATTCTTACGATCACACACAGCTGAGGAAAAAGAAACCAATTCTACCGGCAATCCCCCGACTTTGCTCGTGTAGTGATCGCTCATTTCTTGATTGTCCTCCGCCCATGGCCCAGGCATTCCCAGCACGACATTCTCATTTTCCTGCAGCTGAGAGCGAGAATTCAGCAAACGAAAGAAAGAAAGATCGCGCCGCGCAGCTCACGGCGCTCGATTGCTTACAGCGTCCACAGTCGTGAGGTGTGCCGGAAGCGGGCGCCCCATCCGACCGATCGAATTTGCTTCTCCCGGGCCTCTCCGGCGAGGCGCTCTCAAAACCCTAGCACAACCCTAGAGAATGAATGAATGAATGAAATGAAAAGATCGACCTTTCTCGAATCCCTTTACACGCATTTTTTCTTGTTCTAAAGGGGCACCATGGCAACCGGCTACCGCCGGTCTAGAATCGCGCCACGTGGACAAAACATTGCCTGGACGAACCCTAAAAATTATTCTCACTGGCTAGAATGCTACTCGAGGGAGTGGCAATCGCGGCGCCATCACAGGTATGGGGCTTCGATTTCACGTATTTTCGACCACGCAGCTGTGAATCGTGTGTCAGGCTGCTGGAATCGGCGCTCCATCGAGGATCAGGGCGCCCGGAGTGACGGCCAGATGTTTTGCTCGGCCTTGCGCGATGGAGCTTGAAAATCTAGCTCCAGGGTCAGGTACATTGGCTTGGAATCCTTTGCTCTTCCGCTTATTTGTACCCCGGCAGTGGATGCGAAGAAGGAGCTTAGCATGTCGACGGAGATTATGCAATTCAGCAGCGAATTCGATCCATTTGGAGCTCTTAGCACTCCGCTGTATCAGACAGCAACTTTCAAGCAAGTAAGTTTCGATTGTTGGAACGCTCGACATTGATTTTTTTCTAGCCATCAGCTACCGAATGCGGCCAGTATGACTACACGAGAAGTGGGAATCCAACTCGTGATGCTCTTGAATCGTAAGCGTTCTCTTCGTTTTTTATCTTCATTTTCTAGCTCACGATCAAACGATTTGTAGGTTACTAGCAAAGTTGGAGGGTGCTTCCCGCGCGTTTTGTTTTACCAGTGGAATGGCTGCGCTAAGTGCTGCATCCCATCTAGTTTCAGCAGGTGATGTTTGTATCCATTTTTCCAGCAGTTTCATTGTCAAAATCTTTTCAGGAGAAGACATAGTTGCAGGCGATGACATATATGGCGGATCTGATAGACTTCTGTCCCGAATTACTCCAAATTCTGGAATCACTGTGAAGTAAGAAGCTAGGTATCAAGAATGTGGAGTTTCTTACTATGGTTTTTCAGGCGTGTAGACACCAGTAATCTAGAGGATGTTCGACGTGCCATATCTTCGTCTACGCGACTTGTGTGGCTCGAGAGCCCGACTAATCCTCGTCAAATCATCTCCGACATTCGGGTATATACATCAACTGCTTGATTCGTTCGTTTACCACCACATAACATGGTTTTGTAGGCAATCTCAAGAATTGCTCATGAGAACGGTGCTTTAGTTATGGTAGACAATAGTATCATGTCTCCGGCGTTGTCCAAACCATTGGAGCTTGGCGCAGGTATAAGTTTTCCATCTTGTCCATTTAACTTACGGCTTGCGTGTGATCGATTGCAGATATTGTCATGCATTCGGCAACTAAATTTATTTCCGGCCACAGCGACCTCATGGCTGGTGTGCTCGCTGTCAAAGACGATGAGTAAGTCTATCACTTTGTTTCGTATCTAAGCCAGTGAGCTGCATGTTCCAGATTGGCAAAGAAAATTTACTTCCTCCAAAACGCCGAAGGAACCGGCCTAGCACCATTTGATTGTTGGGGGTGCTTGCGAGGGATCAAAACCATGCCCCTTCGTGTGGAGAAGCAACAGGTACAGTTTAGAGTATCAAAGTCTTGCGTCTCAAACACTGCTCCTTTCTTGTAGCAAAATGCCCAGGTGATAGCTGAGTATCTGGCCTCACATCCAAAGCTCGGCAACGTTCGCTATGCGGGATTGCCCAGTCACCCAGGACATGAACTTCATTACAGCCAGGTAACTCTTCCATATGGTTGTTGTCTTCATCCAAACGCATAAATCTTTCCAGTGCATGGGAGCTGGATCTGTTCTAAGCTTTTACACGGGCTCGGTCGCAGTTTCCAAGCACATCGTCGAGCAAACTCGGCTTTTCAGCATCACAGTGAGCTTCGGTAACTTCATCTTTGAGAGTTTCTCCATTCCTTCTAAGATCTGGTGTCTCAGGGAGTGTGAAATCGCTGATAAGCTTGCCGTGCTTCATGTCCCACGCGAGCATCCCCGTGGAAGTCCGCAAAGCTCGAGGCCTCCAGAAAGATCTCATAAGGATCTCTGTGGGCATCGAGGACGTGAATGACTTGCTAGAAGATTTGGAGCAAGCCATCGCTAGCGCTCCCTGGGATTGACCCAACACTGGATTCCTTCCAGCCAATTTTCTTCCGGCGGGAAATATACACCTTTTATCATCTGGGAAGAACTAGGGTTTATACTCAGGGTTTAGGCAGTGATTGATGGCGTGTGCTGCCGCTGGCGCGATAGGGCTTGGAAATCTAGGCGCTCGTCCACGGATCTACTCCGGCGCCTCCAGCGATGGCATTTTCAAGCTCGCGGCTTGGAATACTCTGGCCTGGTCTCGATCTTCCTCAATCCTGGGTGCTGCCGTGAGCTTCTCGAGCCGATCGGTCAGCTCTCGCCGAAGATTATCGCGAGTAGTGCTCGTGGAGGCCAGCGATCAATCGACTGGGTTGTCAGGTTCGTTCCTTTGCTCTATCTACAGTCGTTTACACTATTCCCACTCGATGGCATTTTCATAGATGGAATCATCTGCCTTGTGATTGGAGGCGGTGGTAGAGAGCACGCGCTTTGCTACGGCCTCCAGCGAGCTGCGAGCTGCGATGGTGTGTTTTGCGCGCCAGGGAATATTGGGATCTCCATCGCGGGGGATGCTACTTGCATTGCCGATCTCGACGTAAGCGATAGTGTTGCAGTGATCTCGTTTTGTAAGCGGTGGGAAGTTGGCTTGGTTGTCGTCGGTCCTGAGGCTCCGCTCGTCGCGGGGCTTGTCGATGATCTCGTCGAGGCTGGGATTCCAGCTTTTGGCCCTTCAGCCTCCGCCGCAGCGCTAGAAGGCTCCAAGTCTTTCATGAAGGACTTCTGCGACAAGTACAAAATCCCCACAGCCAAGGTTGGATTTTTCTTTCTTTCCTATAGACTTATTTTTCATTTTTCTTGCAGTACCGGAGCTTCACAGATCCATCGGCCGCGAAGCACTACATCTCCGAGCAAGGAGTTCCAATAGTTGTCAAGGCTGACGGGCTTGCTGCCGGGAAAGGTGTGACCGTCGCCATGAGCTTGGAAGAGGCTTACGAGGCTGTGGATACAATGCTCGTCCAGGGAGCTTTGGGCTCCGCTGGCGGAAAAATCGTCGTGGAAGAGTTTCTTGACGGCGAGGAGGCTTCGTTCTTTGCAATCGTGGACGGTCACACGGCTCTTCCACTGGCTTCCGCTCAAGATCACAAGCGTGTTGGCGACGGTGACATTGGTCCTAACACGGGTGGCATGGGAGCATACTCGCCGGCGCCTATGGTCGACTCGCGCCTCGAGTCCTTGGTGATGGATACTATAATCCTCCCTACAGTCAAAGGCATGGCCGAAGAAGGTTGCAAGTACGTTGGAATACTATATGCCGGGTTGATGATCGACAAAAAGACTGGAATTCCCAAGCTCCTGGAGTACAATGTTCGTTTCGGGGATCCCGAGTGCCAGGTAAAACTTCTTCTCTTACTTCTTTCAGTTCATTGTTTATATGTCTAACTAAATCTCTTTTGCACGGGCTTTAGGTGCTGATGATGAGGTTCGAGTCAGATCTGGCAAAACTGCTTTTAGCTGCATGCAAGGGTGAACTCAAGGACATCGAAGGCTTGAAATGGACAAAAGATCCTGCATTGGTAGTGGTTCTAGCGAGCAGTGGATACCCAGGAAACTATAAGAAAGGGACTTTGATCAAGAATCTAGACGAGGCGGAAGCAGCGGTCAGGGGCGTAAAGGTATTCCACGCAGGAACAGACGTAGACTCGGATGGGCATATAGTGGCCGTGGGTGGCAGAGTATTGGGTGTCACAGCACTGGGAAAGGATATAGCCGAGGCACAGAACAGAGCTTATCAAGCCGTGGACGTGGTTTCTTGGCCAGATGGTTTTTGCCGTCGGGATATCGGCTGGAGGGCTGTAGCACGGCTTGCTGAAGCCAGGCATCGGCACAGATAAAGAGCGAGCGATCCGGGCACAGGGAAGCGAAAAAGAATAAGAAAGGAGGAAGAAGGCTGTTTGGAACTTTAACTGAAATATGAATTAACTGGCGGTTATAGCTCGCTCAACGATTTTCTGGAAGAGCATCGTCTCACAGGGTCGGTTGTAGGAGAACAGGGCTTTCATTCGTGGGTGTCTGCTGAAGTAGTAGCTTGGAATCTCTCGTGGAAATCCAGCGAGTGTCGGATCTTTGATGATTTTGACCGGCGTCCACCGGTGGATGTGGAAAGATGTCGCGTCCACTGCCCTTGGGAAGCGTGATCGGCTACAGCGGAACCGTGCCTGGTGGCATGGTTCTTCACCCGGACAAGTCGACGCTCGTCTATGCGCTTGGGACTTGCATTGTTTTGAGACACCGGGTATGATCTTTTCCTTTTTTCGGTTCTTCTTTTTGTCTTCATCGAAACTTTTTTCTGACGTCTTGGTTGTTTCAGGGCGATGATCACAACCAAGAGTTTTTGCAAGGACACAGCAACAAGGTGTCCTGTTTGGCCATCTCAAGAAGTGGAAAATATTTGGCAACAGGACAGGTGAAATGTCACTTTCTCCATTTTAAAGTCTAACTTGTCCCTCTAAATGAACAGGTTTCGTACATGGGATTTACGACAACCATTATCATCTGGGATCTGGAGGAGCGAAGGATTCTTCACCAGTTGAATTTGCACAAAGTAAATCCCAATCGGGAAAAGATGACTGAAGTCAGCTATGATTTTGTGACAGGTGAAAGTGGAGTCCTTGAGCTTTTCTCCCTGTGAAACTTTCGTGGCATCAACTGGAGGTCAAGATGATGGGAAACTGGTCGTTTGGTATGTGAAGTCGGGCAAGGCGGTTTGTGGCAGTCCGACGCCAATCGACTATGCTCAGTGCGTGTGCTTCTTCAATTGCACAAACACAAAACTCGTCACAGCTGCATCAGCTAAGCTGACGATTTGGGAATTTGACGAGGGAAACAGGCAGCTTCGGCCATACGATTGCCAACTTGGTAAAATCAGGCGAGTGTTGCAAACAATTGTAAGTGCTGTTTCAGGCTGAAGCTCGTGGTCTCATCTTGATGCATTGCCAGGTTATTGATAGTAAGGACGACTACGTATATGTTGGAACTCAAACTGGAGATGTTCTTCAGGTTTATTATTTTCTTTTATGTGTTGCAATTCTCTTTACTATCGCCCTGTTGTACTATGCAGGTGAGTTTGGGTCCGAAATTGTTTCAAAATCATGGACCTAAGCAAAAGCTTTGCATGGGAGTACAATCTACGATATCGACGCCCTTTGACGACCTACTTGTCGGGGGTGGAGATGGAAACATTGTACTCCTGAGGTCTGGAACTTTGAAAACGGTCTCCTCTACCAGAGTTCACGGTAGTGTCACTGCAATGGCCAATGGTAATGCTGATCAAAGCGGATCTTTCGAGTTCTTTGTTGGAACTTCCAAGAGCAACATGTATCTCGTCAAGTAAGCATTTGCTTTAATTCTTTTCCAGTTACTGATAAGCCGGTGCCAGAACGCTGTTATAGGTATGATGCAAAAAGGAATATGATGGCCTCACAGCTCATTCATACTTGCCATTACGACAAAATCAATGACGTCGCTTTTCCATCGGGCTACAGTGAAGTCTTTGCTACGTGCTCGATGGATGATATTCGTATATGGCAGCTGGAAAAGTGTCGAGAGCTACTTCGGATTCAGGTAAGTTTTTTACTCGATAAGCAAACAAGATGAAACGCGTGTTTTTTTCATTAATTCAGGTCCCCAACCAGAAATGCATGAGCTTAGCATTTATGCCCGACGGAAAGTCCCTCATTAGCGGCTGGAATGACGGGCGGATTCGGGCCTTCGGGCCACAAACAGGAAAACTACTCTATACGATACTCAATGCTCACAAACTGGTAAAGCTCTCTCTTTTATCTCCTTTTGTACTGACGCTGACAAGCAGGGCGTGACGGCAATCACAGGCACATCCGACAGTGGAAAGATAATCAGCGGTGGCGTGGATGGTCAGGTGATTCTCCAGCTTTAATCTTTTTAGCACACAGCACGAATTGTTTTGTCCTGACAGGTGCGTGTATGGAGGATCGGCCCCCATAGTCACAGCTTGATCGCGACGATGAAAGAGCATGTCGAAGTAGTCAACGGCGTCCAGGTACCGATATCTTTTCTGATCGCGGGGGCACAACTTGAAAAGTTTGTTTCCTTTTCCTTTCCCGCGGTGTTAGGTTCGCAAAAACGACTCGGAATGCGTAAGTTGCAGCAGCGACGGCTCGTGCATTGTGTGGGATCTTACTGTAAGTCCTGGCTACGAGATTTTCTTCCCTCCTCACGACTCCCGTGGCAATGGCAGCGATTTACAAGAAACAACAGTATGTTCGCGTCCACTTTCTTCAAGGCCATCCAGTACCACCCTGACGAGAGCCAGCTTCTTACAACCGGAACAGACCGCAAGGTTGGAAACACACTTTCATTATCTCCTGGCTTTGAGACTGACAACGCTGAGAGATTTTCCATTCCAGATAACGTACTGGGATGCCTACGACTGCGCGGCGATCCGAATCGTAGACGGATCTCTGACCTCGGAGATGACCGCGCTGGACATAAGCCCCGACGGCACCGCGTTCGTCAGCGGGGGATATGACAAGGAGGTGCTCCTGTGGAACTACGACGAGGGCCATCCTTACTTCACAGGGAAAGGACACAGCGAGCCCATCACCAAGGTACGAAACTCCATTCGTGTAGAACGAGGACATGTAGATATAGATGGCTTGAAGATAGTTGGATAGGATCTAGAAGCTGTCTTGTGTGTCAGCTCTTCGTCACCAAGGTACGAGGCTCCATTTGCGTGGAACAATGAGGTTGAGATATAGATGGCTTGGTAGATAGTTGGATAGGATCTAGAAGGTGTCAGTTTTGGTTTCGTTCCTCGCTGCCGTGTTGAGTTCTCACTTATCTCGTGTGTGTTCCAGGTGAAGATAAGCCCCGATCAGCAACACGTAGTCTCGGTGGGGGAGGAAGGTGGCATTTTTATCTGGGACTACAAAGCTCCAACGTCGGCATCCACGAGCCCGGCCAGCGTTGGAAGCCCAGCCAGCGGAAGCCCAGAGCCGTGAGGAAAAGATTTGGACAGATCAATCAAGCAAAGCGAAACGACCAAAGCAAAGAATTCACTGGTAGAAAACGCATCGTGGGTGGGACAGTATATAGATACGACCTCTTCTGTGTGGTGACACAACTGGCCAACAAGCGAGCGCACAGCCGCAAAGGGGAAAAGAGAGGAAAAAAAAAAGAGGGAGAAAGAAATAAAAGGAGGAGAGGAGGATCCTCAAAGTTTTTAAGCTCGCTCCTTCATTCTTTTTTTGTGTGCCTCGAGTTTGGCGACGCGCAAGATCGGATTTTTGCGGCTTCATCCGTGAGGAGGGGATCAAATTTTTCCTGGCGCGAGCATATAGGTAGAGCCCTTCCATCAAGCAATCAATCGAGAAGGGGGTGGAATTCTATCATATCCAGCAAGGAAGGATAGGCTGGATGCAATCCCCGGTAGTAATCCCCGCGCCCTCATCGTCGCCATGCTCGTCCTCGCTCATGGCGGCCGCGAGTAGCGCCCGCCATGCATCGCTCTCTTCCCCTCCCTCCTCTAGCTCCTCGTCCATCTCTCAGTCGCGCGCGACAGCCGCCGCGGCCAGCCCGAGGTCGCCAAGCCCGAGGTCCAGCCCGAGGAGGTCCAGCTCGGTCCTGGAGCACACGGATCGCGCCGGAAAGGTGGACGTTGGAAAGGAGATCGAGCAGCAGCGGCGGCAGCGGCAGGATCTGGAGAGCAAGGCCAAGAGTGGGCTCGTGGGATTCGACAAGTTCGTGCGCTCCAACCCACTCACCGACCGATTCAAGGTGCTGTGCTTCCACCACGTCGAGCTGTGGTGCGGCGACGCCACCAACACCTGGCGCCGCTTCTCGTGGGGGCTGGGCATGCCGCTCGTCGCCAAGTCGGACCAGACCACCGGCAACCACGTCTACTGCAGCTACGCGCTCCAGTCGGAGGAGCTCGTCCTCGTCTTCTCGGCCCCCTACTCGGACAAGCACCGCTACCAGCCGGCCTCGCCGCCACCCCACCCAGCCATGACCAAGCCCGCCATGCTCGACTTCTTCGACGCCCACGGCCTCGCGGTCCGGGCAGTCGGCGTCCGGGTGGAGGACGCCGCCACCGCCTTCCGGACGAGCGTGGAGCACGGCGCCATCGCGGTGCTCGAGCCCACGACCATGCACGACGTCCACTCCGGCCAGGAGCTCGTGCTGTCCGAGGTGGCGCTCTACGGCGACGTGGTTCTTCGTTTCGTCAGCGGCGGATTCGACGGCCCCTTCCTCCCAGGCTACGAGCGCGTGAGTCCGCCACCTTTCTCGTCGTCCCCCTCGGGGCTTGGAGTCGGGCTCTGCCGGCTGGATCACGCCGTCGGGAACGTCCACAACCTGCTGGACGCCGCGCGGTACGTGGCCGGCTTCACGGGCTTTCACGAGTTTGCCGAGTTTACCGCCGAGGACATTGGCACCTGCGAGAGCGGGCTGAACAGCATGGTCCTGGCCAGCAACAACGAGATGGTGCTGCTGCCCATGAACGAGCCGGTGCATGGCACGCGGAGGAAGTCGCAGATCCAGACGTACTTGGATCACAACGAGGGGCCGGGCTTGCAGCACTTGGCGATCTCTTGCCGGGATATCTTTCATACTTTGAGGGAGATGAGGATGAGATCTCACATCGGGGGGTTTGAGTTCATGCCCAGGCCGAACAAGAAGTACTACAGGGACTTGCCGGAGAGGATTGGATCGAGCCTGACGCCCGAGCAAGTGGAGATGTGCGAGGAGCTCGGGATCCTGGTTGACAAGGATGATCAGGGGATTTTGCTCCAGATCTTCACCAAGCCTGTGGGTGACAGGTATGTGTTTTCTTTTCTCTCTGTCCTTTGGAAAGATTCGATGTTCTATGGCTTTTTGTGTAGGCCAACTTTGTTCTTGGAGATAATCCAGAGGGTGGGATGCATGGAAGAGAACGTCCAGCGAGGAGGGTGTGGGGGATTTGGCAAGGGGAACTTTGCGGCGTTGTTTAAATCGATTGAGGACTACGAGAAAACTCTCGAGCGATGAAACAAGAATAGTTTTTTTCTGTTATGATTTTTGGGTCAAATATAATAAATCATCTGCCTCAATTTCCAATCGGAGAGCCTGAAAGTCCTGAATATCTACAAGCTCAACAGGAAATGTGGCAAACTCCAGAGCTTGGAAATTGGTGGAGACTGGGAGCTGGATGAATTGGTGGGGCACAATCACAGAGCTTACCTTCCTCCATTTGGACTGCAAGCACAAGATGAGCATTTCCCTTCTGCTGGAGCTTGCAAATCGTCAGTTTCGGCACTGGCTACTTTGTGGTCTTCAATTTTCTACCCTGTAATCTTCTTCTTGTAGGTGCTCGAAGGCAAAGGCAATCTACGTAACTTGGAGACACTTGTGCTTGCGATTACCCTGATGACGATATCTCTTTCTTGAGGGCTTCGTAAACTTGTGGTCCATTGCTTTGATCTGATCAACAGGATGTCACAGACCGTGGAAGACATTCCTGGAAACTGGGAAAGTTCTATCCAGGTTGCATCTCCTTCACTTGACAAGTGAGATCAAACTCAAAACTTTTGTAGCAAAAGGCCTTCTCATTAGTGATAGTTTTCTACCACAATCTTACTCAGCTGTTCTCCTTGAACAGTGAACGCTCATTCTCTAGCACCATCGAATTTAACATAATCTAAATTCCTCTTCTAGCGCTATATGTTATGGTTATCGTCCTGTGGTTTGCTAGCAAGCTTGAACAAATGAGTATAATGTAATAGCCAAATTTAAAAATCAAATTTAAGTTATACGATACATATATGAGAGAGAATTAAGGGCCCCTCGTCTCAAATAATCCTATTATGCAAAAAAGGTTTTGTTTAAATGAATAAGAGCATCTTCAAAACTTTGAAATTTTCGGTCTTGCCAATTCGAATCCTGTTCTTCGGTATAAACGAAGCCATTAGATCATTTAGCCCCCTAGCTACTCATGTAATAATAATAATGTATGTATGATATTCTTGCAAAGATTTCTTTCATGGCAATCGAAAAACTAGCAAGATACCAGGGAGAAGCGTCACCCCAGTCCCATGGACAAGACACGAAGAGCGAATATGCTCATCAGCGCCCTCGGACGGTCCGGGAGCGTCCAAGACGCGCAGTGCGTCTTCCTAGCCATGGATCAAAGGAATATCTTCTCCTGGAATATCCTTCTTGCGGCATATGCCCAGTCCGGGCATATGCTTCCCGCCCGCGAGGCCTTCTCCAAGATGCCCCACCACGACGCAATATCGTGTGGAACGCTGCTCAAGATCTTCTCGCAATGCGGCATGATCGCCCACGCAGAGGCGATCTTCGCTTACATCCGCGACCCCGACACGATCGCCTGGAGCGCTATGATCACAGCACACGCCCGAGCTGGGCAAATCGATGCCGCCAAGAGCTACTTCGATCGCGTGCCTCGCCGGAACGTCGTGTGCTGGAACGCGATGATCCAGGCGTGCAATCTCTCTGGAATCCCAATCGAGGCCAAAATATTCTTCGATAGAATGCCGCTGGCGGATGTAATCTCCTTCACGAGCATGTTAGCGGCGTATTCCCAGACCGGGCACTTGGAGCGCGCGCTGGAAATATTTGCTCTTCTTCCTCGCCCGGATCTCGTCGCCTGGAACGCGCTCATGGCGGCATTCTTGCGCTCGGATCGATTCGACGAGGCCGTGGAGATCTTCCACGCCATGCCGGATCGAAGCGTGGTGTCGTGGAACGCGCTCATCACGACCTACGGGCAGAGCGGGCGCTGCGAGGACGCGGAGAGGACTTTCTTGGCGATGGCGAGGAGAGATCTCGAGTCTTGGAACTGCGCCATCCAGGCGGAGCTCCAAGATTCTGGAAGAGATGATCACGGCCTCGCGGCAGCAGCAGCATTCCTGGAGAGAATGCCGCAGTGGAGCGAGATTTCTTGGAGCCTGATGGCGCAGACGTACGCTTCCACCGGGAAATTCCAAGCTCTACTCGAATCGACGCTGCCGGATCTGCCGCTCATGACCTGGAACGAGATGATCACCGCGCACGCCCTGAACGCCAAGATCGAGGAATCCAAGCGGCTCTTCGACTGGATGCCGCAGCGCGACGTGATCTCCTGGAATCGCCTCCTCCAGGGCATGGCGAACGAAGAACAAGAAGATCAAGATCGAGAGCTCCTGGAAGAAATCTACCACCGAATGCCCGCCCGGGATCTCATTGCTTGCACGACGATGATCGGCGCCTATGCCAGCCTAGGATCGCTGCACCAGGCGCGCGATCTCTTCGATCGATCGCCCCAAAGAGACAAGACGCTCTGGAATGTGACGATCAGCGCCTACGCCCAGAATGGGCGAGCCGACGAAGGGCGTGGATTGTTCCACGTCATGCCCCACACGGACGAGGTCTCGTGGACCGCGATGCTCGGCGTATATTCCCAACAAGGCCGCCCGGAAGACACCCGGGATATTTTTGAAAAGATGCCCAGGCGAGACAAGGTGGCCTGGAACGTACTAATCGACGGATATTCCCAAAACGGGCATTTAGAAGAAGCAAAAGAGGCGTTTGCAAAGATTCCTTGCTGGAATGCCATGCTATGGAACTCCATGGTGAGAGTATATGCCATGAGAGGGCATCCAGAGGCAACAAAGGGAGTGTTTGAGAAGATGCCACAGAGGGACATTATCTCTTGGAACTCCTTGATTTTTGGATATTCTCAGAACGGGTATATTCGCGAGCCCGAGCTCTTCTTCCACCTCATGCCCGAGTGGAGCACCGTCTCCTGGCTCGTTTTGATGGCCTCGCTCGCCCAAAACGGTCTCGCCGATCGTGCAAAATCCGTGTTTGATCGAATGCCCGAGCAGGACACCTCGTGCTTCGTCGCGCTCATGGCCGGATTGGCGTCCAACGGCAGCTGCCAAGAGACCATCGATCTCTTCCAGGCGATGAATCTCTTCGGCTGGAAGCCAAACGCGGACGCGTTCGTGATGATCCTCCACGCCTGCAGCCACTCGGGGGACGTGATCCAGGGGCGCGACTTCTTCGCCTCGATCCGGGAAGCCCACGGCCTGGAGCCGACGATCGAGCACTACTCCTCGATGATCGATCTCCTGGGGCGCTCGAGGCGGATCCAAGAGGCCGAGGAGCTCGTCCACAGCATGCCCTTTCTCCCGGACGCTGTGACCTGGACGATCCTTCTCAACGCCTGTACCGTGCATAGCGATCTGGAGCGAGGAGCTCGAGCAGCAACGAGCGCCCTCGCGATCGATCCCAAAAGCCCAGCTGCGAGCTACATTCTCCTCTCCAAAGTCTACGCCCCACCGGACGAGAAATTTTCTAGGAGTTGAAATTAGGGTTCTTCCGCCTTGCATTATTTTGTCTTGTCGTGGAGGAGATTCGAACCTCCGACGGGTGTGTGAGAGAGTGGGATAGAAAGCTAAGATGGACGCACGCCGCACACACCACACACTGGGTGGCTTGATGCCCAGGCTATATTCCTTATCCCCTCGCTAATCCCTGGCTTTTAGACTAGAGCTTTAAGCGCGTCTAGGCTTTTGGCTACACACTGCCCAGCTTTGTCTCTCGAGAGCAGCGCTTCCATCCCCATCGCGCTTCCGGGAAGGATGGGATTGTGAGGAGTCGCGGCCATCCGGCATGGAATCGCTGCCGCCGGCGCCAGCTCCCTGGAGCTCCAGCAGCGCCAGCAGCGCCAGCGCCAGCAGCACGGCGATTCTGGGGTTTTGGTGACGGCGGATCCGGGGGGGCGAGGGGCTTCGCCGGGCCGTGGCTGCTGGCGCTGGTCTCGGGAGGAATTCGTGGGGTTTAGGGTGCGCAGATCCGAAATTCTGGACGAGCTCTCGACCAGGTATCGTCCAATCTCTTAGCAAGAACTAGGTGTGGTGTAGAGGCAAGGGAGAAACGTGGAGATCGATAGAGCGGGCACCGCAGCACGCGAGAATTCTATGCGCCAGAAGAGGAGGTAGCGTGGATTATCTTCGCGTTTCGTCTTCCTGGGGGGCATGGATTTCGATGGGACCGTGGATGGGGAAGCTAAAGAGGTGGTGACAGTGCCAGTGAGGCAAGACGACGATGGATCTAGCGGCGACTATGGTGAAGTGGAAGTCGACGGTGGTGGTGCTGGTGGTGGCTCCGGGCAGCAGCCGCAAGCATTAGAAGTTGTCACTACTGTGAAGACCGAGGCAGGGGTGGACACCAAAGAGAAAACTCTCCTGACTTACAGGAGAAGATCTTCTTCCTCAGCTCCTTCCACGGCGGCGACCACTCCGCCACCACTTGTCACTCCCAAGCTCGAGGAAAACACTCGTCCTGTTCGTGCCAACCGGGGAATCAAGCGGCGGTATCCCGGTAAAGCATTTTCTTCTTTTTTTCTCCATCTCCTCTCTGACTGCAAGTGTTCGTCGACTTTCGACTTTCCATTTTCCAGGAGATGAGTCAGACGATACCGAATCAACTCGCAAGCCCGCTCGTGTCCGGAGCATGACAGAGGTTTTTGCCGAAAGTGCGAAGTATTCTTCTCAAAATGGTAAAGGTAGTGGATTGTCTTTTGTTTGGTTTTGCTTTGTTTTTGCTGCTTTGCTTGGCTTCCACCTGTTATGTTCTTGTGTTTCTTAAGTTTTATTTCATTAGTTGTAGAGGTCGGGCAGAGAGTTCCAAGACGCATGCGTCCGAAGAAAAGAGGCAGGCCTTCGAGAGCAAACGGCGGCAGGAAAGGTTTGAGTGGAATGAATTCCAGTGAGAACTCTGATCAGCCACGCCAAGGTAGCTTAAGGGCATGATGCATTAGATATGTTTATTTCACGTTCTTCGCTCTGCTGTGCTTTGTAGCGCCCTTGGTACTGAAGAACTTTGCGTCTCCAATCTGTGCAGGGAATTTGTATGTGTGCAAGCACGAAGGCTGTGACAAAGTTTTCAGTGAACCTGGTGGACTGTACCGGCATGCCCGAGTACACGGTGACAGGCCATATGTTTGTCACTACGAAGGCTGCAACAGGGTAAGATCTTTAGCGTTGTTTCTCTGGCTTGGACTTCTCAAACTGTGATTTGTTCCAGAGATTCTTGGAAAGATCCAAGTTAAAGCGACATTATCTTATTCATACTGGCGAGAAGTCATTTGTTTGCCTGCACGAAGGCTGCGGAAAGGTGAGGAGTTTCCACGCTCGGATATTGTTTTCACTTGTGCTGATCCTGAGCAATGGCAGGCATTTTCTCTAGATTTTAACTTGCGCTCTCACATGAAGACGCACACCGGCGAGTACCACGAGTGCCCGCACGAAGGCTGCGAGAAGAAATACTGCCAGAACTACAAGCTCCGGGCTCATATGTGCAAGGACCACAACATGGTCGACGGCGACGTGCTCATGGACGCGCTCAAGGATCTCACTCCGGAGATGAAGGCGGCCAAGAAGCAGGAGAAGCTCCAGATGCTACTGACGAGAAGGGAGAGGCTGGACGACTGGCGCGAGGGGCGGAAGAAGCGGATCCAGGAGCTGGAGGTGGAGCTAGAGCGGGAAACCAAGGAGCTGGGCAAGATCGAGCGGGCGATGAAGAAGCTGGAGCGGGAGAAGGACCTGCTGGAGGTGGACGACGAGTCGGAGCTATCATCGTCAGACGACTCGATCGAGCCGGACATCGAGCAGGCGAGCTGCGAGGACAGGGAGGTGCTGGTGTTCGCGCAGAAGCTCCCAACGGCGGACCACGGCGCGAGGCTCGTGCAGGCCGACCCCAGGATGATCCAGCACTCGAGCGAGATGGTGGCGCTCAGGCCCAGCGGATTGCTACCGCCGGAGAGCTCCATCACCGAGGAGAAGATCAAGAAGGCGGACGCGATCGCGAGCAGCGCGAGTACCTGGCAGAATCACGCGCTCCAGAGCCAGGGGCAGAATCAAAGCGGCGATGGAGCAGCGGTGTGGTCATCGTCGTCGTCGTCCTCGCACAAGATGATCTTGCTGCAGCAATCGGAGCTCCCAGTGACGCATTTGTTCGCGTTCCAAGAACAGCCCTGCTTGGTGGACTAAAACCCCGCCAAGGAAGAACACTCTTGCTATAAACCCTAAACCCTGAATCCTAGGGCACAAGGAAGCTTTCCTAGAAAGGGCAAAAGGCCAGAAAAAAGGTGTGGTTCCGTACGCCTCCACCAGCGTGGAATTATCTCCGGATGCGTTTGCGATGGGCCGCCATGTAGTACGGCACCAAACCACCCATGGAGAGGGACAGCTTAGCGACACGTGTGGCGCGGCGATTGACGAAAATCTCTGTGATTGGCTGCGATTCTTTCTTCCCGGAAAACGTGTATGATGTAATATTGTATGGTTGGAAAACAAAATGGGACATTGGAGTGGAGACAAATCATTGGTGAGAATTTTTTGCTATAATAGCATCCAACGGGAGGCATGGTATTTTACCTGGAGATCCGACGGCTGGGAGGCGGCCACCAAGTGCTGTAAGAACGGTCGATTTTTATCCCCGCCCGCCAGCAGGAAAGGCGAGCAAGGAAAGCTCTGTAGCCACATTGTAGAGCCCAGGACGGGATTAAAAGCTTTTAGGAGAGATAGGGTTTCTAGGCAGGAGGGAGCTCCCCATTTTCTCGCTTTGTTCTTCGCGATCTGTGATGGATCCGGATTTCTTTGTCTGAATCTTTGGTTCTTTCTCTCTTTATCCGTGAGAGATTTTCCTTTTTTTCTGTTCTTTTTGGTTGGATTTGGAGTGCCTTTTGGCCGATTTCTCTTCTTTTCTTCATTCGTTTTGTTCTTTCTTTCTTCCTTGCTCTTCGTTTGTTTGAGAATCTAGTTCGATCGATCGCCAGGATTTGTGTGCTTGCTAGCCATGGCTGTTCGTCCTCGCAGCGCCTTCTTCTTCTGCTCCTGCAAGGCCTCCGGCGTTGATGGCGTCGACGAGGCGTAGCATCGCCTAGCGGAAAATGTCCACGAAGAGGTATGCTCCTTCACTCTTTCTCTTGGGAGATTTCGTCACGGCGTGTTATCATCCGCTTGGGACCAAATGTCCCTGCTTTCTCCGGGGATTCCTTTTTGTTTGCTCTGATCTTGGCATTCACTGTAGATGTCCAAACGATTCGCATCTGATGCCTTGTTCATGCTAAAGTTTAGCTTTAGAGTTTCGAGATCTAGCACAGTTTCAAATAAAAAGAAAAGTGGAGAGGGGTTGCTTTGTCTGCTGCATTGGGTGAAACTTTCGTTTTCTTTTGTTTGGTCTATACGATCAATCCAAGCTTTCGTGTGCCAAGCTTGACACCGTGTTCTACTGTTTGCAGGCTGACTAGCTCACCGACAATGCGCCCCCTCGTTTCATCGCTCTTCTCAGCCGCTAAGAAACCAGCAGCTACTGCTACTATTCCAAAGGCGGGGGTTATAGACTGGCGACTCAACAAGCCAGAGATTATCAGCGTGCATAGCCTGGACCTCCACTACACGAGCCTCCGGGACGTGATGTTCCTCCAGTACCAATGCCACAGCACGGAGAGCGTGAGCGGCGGCGGCGGCGGCGGCGGGAGCCCGAGAACTCGAATGAAGAACCATCTGGTGGAACAGGCCGCGCGGGCATACTTGCAGCCGCTCAACGTCGTCGACAACTCGACGCAGTTCTTCCCGTGGAACTGGCAGAAGATCATGGGCTATGCTCCGCTCACATTCAGCATGAGCATGCCCAGGCTCGTCACCGCCGGTGGTGGTGGTAGTGGTGGTGGTGGTGGTGGTGGTGGTGGTGGTGGTGGCGATCAGTGCTGCGGCCTCATGGGATTCTTGTCCAAGCTCAGCCTCTCCCGGACGCTCAAGTATCTCCTGGGGCGAGTAAGGCCGCCGCACGCTGGATTTCTGAACTTGTGAGTTATATGTATGCTGGTTGATTGTTGGCTAGTTGGCTTGTTCGTGAAAAAATTGGAAAAAATAAAATTACGCTATGTACAGTATAAATTTTTGTCAATGTTAGCATGTTGTCAAATGGAAACAGCTGGGGTGATTTGTTTTAGGTTTTGGATTCCTTTCCGCCGGCAATAGATCTGCTAAAAGTAGCGCAAAAGATTTCTAAAAGAGTGGGCCTTTTAGTGAATGGATGGTGATCAATGGCGAGTACAAGGATTGGCCAACAGACATTGCTCCTGGGAGGTGAAGAATTTGGGCCCTGTTTATGGTGAAGGAAGTTTGGAGGAGCAGTCTCCCAAATTTCCTTCTGCTCATATGAGACAGTCTCTGCTCATGAGACTGTCTGCTGGCCAATTTTTCCACAACACTAACCGCAGCTATGGCCCAATTGTGAGACACCCTACAACAATACTTGAGGTGGCCCTGATTCCTATGTTGCAGCTCAGCTTTGCTCTTCTCCATGAAGACAGGAGGGAGAGCGTCAACTTTTCGTTTTGGGAGCACAAAATGGCATGCATAATCTCTGATCGCGAAGAAGGGCATTGATTGAGCATTGGCTTGGATGCCGTGGGTGTTTTGGTTTGCTTTAAAATTTAATGTTTTTAGTTTGCTGAAACAAATCTGTAAGGGGACTAAATGGATATATCTGAATATGTTTGGATATTTCAAAATATTCTGCTATCTAACAGGTTTTTGTATTTATAATTTTGTTTATGATTGATACACTTGCTTAAATACTTTTTAGTATATTCTTTTCTATTTTACCATCTAGCAATAAGATTAATTTTGAAATTATAAACATGTTCATAATTATAAGCTTTTATTTAATTAAATAAATCAAACATTACTACATGCAATACATAGCAAATTATTTAATGTTTTGATTTGAATGTTGTTCAAATGAAACAGTTGGGGTGGTTTCTTCTAGGTTTGCTTTTCTATGCTGCTTTGTAGATTGGAGGATGTTACTGTGGTGTGAAATTTAGGGCAAGTGTTACTCGTGGTGAAAGAATTCTGGATGACTAGTATTAAAGAGGTGCCCATGGGGCAAAAGTTTAATGAGGAAGAAGAGGCAACCCCTTTTAGAGCAGTCGCCTAGAACTCTTTCACCATGAGTGGTGCACTCTTTTAAAATATGGTACTTTCTCTAGTTGCTAGTATTGATTCATGTGTCTAACATTTCCAATGCCCGTTTTAGAAACTCATGCTCATCTAACAAAACTTTATGTAAGACCTATAATGACAATGTTCTGATTCCATGTCGGAGCTCTTGCTCTTCTCAGGAGGGATTTCTGTCGAGCACACTGATCGGATAGCGCGGTTAAATTTGCGCCAAGAGTGTTTAACGGAATAACGCTGGAGAGTTTAGGGTTCTTACCCAGGAACCCTAATATCCGAAGCTCCATAGGGCGGCACTACCACCAGGTCTGCGCATTCGCTCTATCTCGACTCCCCGCGTACTACATCCAGCGACCGAGCCCGCAGCCAAGCATCTGGCTTCTCATCCCGGCGCTCAGGGCATCGTCCGCGATCCAGGAGCTAGAGCAGGGCCGGATTATCCATGGGGAAGCCGCCGCTCGCTCCCTCGATTCCAATCCCTACGTCGCCAGCGCGCTTGTCACAATGTACTCCCGCTGTGGCAGCACCGTCGACGCTCGGCGGATCTTCGATCTCACCCCCGCGGGCCACAGCCTCGCCTCTTGGACGGCGCTCATGCTGGCCTACATCGATTCCGGGGATCCCTCCACGGCGCTCGATCTCTTCCGCTCCAGGCCGCGGGCGATCCCCACCCCGGATGCCAGGGCATTCTCCGCGGCGATCAGGGCGTGCTGCGAGCTCGCATCGATGGAGTCTGGCGTGGAGCTCTCCCCCGGGAGAGTGGTGAAGCTTAGGGCTCTTGAGCAAGGCATGGCGATCCACGCGACGATCGATGCTTGCTGGTGCTCCAGGGATCTGTTCCTGGCCGCCGCGCTGGTGGATTTCTACGCGCGGTGTGGCAGCGCAAGGGATTGCCGCCGGGTGTTCGATCAGATCGATGGCCCGGACGTGGTGGCGTGGACAGCGCTGGTGAATGGCTACGCGGACAATGGAGAGGCGGCGCTGGCGCTGGAATCGTTCAAGATCATGGCGGGCAGCCGGAGCTGCGCGGATCCAGACGCTCGGTGTGTTCTCGCGGCGATCAAGGCGTGCATCGCCCTGGCAGCGAGCGAGAAGCCGCGAGAGATCTCGACTGGCGGGAAGAACATCGCGGTGAAAATGGGCGCTCTTCGCGAGGGGATGGAGCTCCACGCCCGGGCCAGGCGATGGGGATTCGAGCGCGAGGAATTCCTGGGCGGCGCGATCGTGGACATGTACGCCAAGTGTGGGAGCTTGATCGACGCGCGCATGGCGTTCGATCGCCTCCCAGCCCACAGCGCCGTGACTGTCAGCTCCATCGCCTCTGCGCACGCCAGCGCCGGCGAGGGCGAGCTCGCGCTGGAGCTCCTCCTCTCGCGTGAATTGTGTCTTCCTCTCTCGGCCGATGCGTGGGCGATGAGCGCCGCGCTCAAGGCGTGCGCCACCGCCGCCTCGTCGCTGCCGCTCACGCAATCCATCCACGCGCGGATCCTCCGCGCGGGGATGGAGATCCTCCCCGTCCTCCACGCGGGGCTGATCGACGCCTACTGCAAATCCGGGAGCCTCCGCCACGCGCAGTGCCTCTTCGCGGCATCCGCGAGCAACGACTCCATCGCCTGGAACGCGCTCCTGGCGGGGCTGAGCCACGGCGGAGACATCGATCGCGCGCTGGAGCTCTTCCGCCAGATGATCGACGAGGGCATTCCTCCCGTGGGCGCGAGCTTCGTGTGCGCGATCTCGGCTTGCAGCCACGCCGGGATGGTGGATCGCGCGCGGGGGCTCTTCGCGGCCATGGGGAGGTGTGGAGTTCCTCGCGGGATCGAGCACTACCACTGCATGGTGGACGTGCTGGGCCGCGCCAACCGGCTGGAGGAGGCGGTGGCGATGGTGAGGGGAATGCCGCATGAGCCCACCGCGGTTACGTGGAGGACGGTGCTGGGGGCTTGCCACAAGTGGAAGAACGCAAAGGTGGCGAAGGTGGCGTTCCAAGAGCTCGTCAAGATAGATCCCAGCGATCCGGTCGCGTATAACCTCATGGCAAATGTAAGGGTATTTACATAAATCAGATCACTATGGATTCTGATTTTATTCAGTTGCCCTTAACCCTGAGGTGTAGGGCAAAGGATTAGCAACTCTCGAGGAGAATGAAGCGCGTGCATGGCAGCAACATCATTGACAATGTTGAAAGGTATTTCCTCGATATGAATCCCATACTCTTTCTTAGAATTTCTTTCCATGGCAGCTCGCCTCCAATGGACGCATCCATCTGGGCAAATCTCCCGCTCGATTTCCAGCTCAAGCTTCTCGATCACTTCCCTCTCCAGGCTCTCTTCCGCGCCAAGCTCGTCTCCAAATCCTGGCGCCAGGGCGTGCTCTCCCTCTGCGACACCAGGTTCTTCTACATCTACCGCAATAAGATGGCGAGCCCTGGGGAGAAGCACTGGAGGCCTCTTCCACTGAACTACCTTCCAAACTTCCCGGAAGAGCTCCGCCGTGTGTGGGCAGCAACGTCGACGGGCTGGCTCCTAGTGGAGACCATGTCTGCCCAGCTGATCGTCACCAATTTCCTCACTCGCAGCTGGACTGGGCTTCCACCACCGGACTCGCACACTGGTACCATCATCAGCTTCCAGGCATTCCCAGACTCGAGCTTCCGGGTGGTCTCTGGCGTGAACTCGAGAAGTATCACCGTTTCGGGGTTGGAGTCCCACAGTCACGACAAGCTGGAGCTCCACATGTACTATAATTGCTGTGGTGCGGCAGTAGTGGCGGCCTGGGAGAACTGGGTAGTGGACATTGGAGCTTTCCAGATCCTGGCATCACTTCCCATACTCGGTCTTTGCAGCGATGAAAGCCACTTTTTTTTCATCACCAGGACGAGTTTAGGGGAGAAGGAGTACTCGCTCAAGTCTGTTAGCTTCCTTGATCGAGACTCGGGGACGAGGACTCTGGCGCGATGGAAGAGCCTGCCGCCGGGATTCATGGTCAGTGACACGCGCACCTCCGACATATTTGACGTGTATCCCCTGCCGGTTGTCTGTGGTGGACGAATCCTCTTCCCGTGCATGCAAACAAGCAGCGGTGGCGGTAGAGGAGTCCCAGCATTGCTGCTCCTGGACGAGAGGTTGGGGCAGTGGCAGCCCTTTGTGGCAATGCCGCTGGATGATCCGGGGCTGGTTCCTCGGCAGATATTTAACTGGGAGCTGTTAGTTAGCGCTGGGGCCTGCGAGGACGAGGTAGTCTTTGGTCTCCTCGCGATTGGCTTCCTGGGCGTCTACAAGATCTCGAGCCGGACATGGTCGCCACTGCCGCTGCCGGACTGCAAGAGGAGGTCTCTCGGCTCTATTATACCCTTCAAGTATCAGAGAATTGTCCCTCCCTCCTTACTGGCTAGAAATGATAAAGAATAGAAAGCTCGTTTGCCAATGATCTTTGGAACATGAAACTATAACAAACGCAAATATAATAGATAATATTCTGGAATCTAGGGCTACTAGAATCTTGAATCTTTGCAGAGGATATGCTGCCAGAGATGCCATTTTAAATTTAAATCTGCCCTAATGAAGGACACGAACTTTCTCGTTTCTTGAGATTCTTTCCAAGCAAGCTTTGCCAGAGAACCGCAGCGCACCATAGCTTTGTGAGCTGCTGCCCTGTCCTCCACTCTCGATCTCTCTCGCTCCTCCTCGCGGTCAAAAGGACTTCTTCCTGGCAGGCACCGTTCCATCGCTGCCGATGAGCATCCCATACTTATCCTTGCGCGTAAAGTTCGTGCACTCGAATCCCAGCGTGTCCGCCAGCACCCTCTGGATGTAGTTGGCCACCTCGATCGCCGACTTGCCCCCCTGGACGCTCAGATCGTGCGGCAGCCGCTCGAGGAACGTCACCTCGTACACCGGGAACGGGTTCATGAAGAAGAAGAACGGGTCCATCCCCTTCCAGCCCCGCACCGTCGTCCCGTGGAAGATGCTCGTCTTGGTCGACGTCGCAACCGGGACGATGTTCTCGGACAGCTCCGCGAACAGGGCGCTGAACCGCAGCAGGAAAGGCTCCCGGCACGTCGTTCCCTCGGGACAGATCGCCAAGTTCTCCTTCAGCAGCAGCCGCTTGATGTTCGAGGCGTCCCTCTCCCGGTCCCGCGACAGCGGCACCGTCTTGATGGGCGAGAGCACCTCCGACACCCGGCTGATGCTGTAGGTGAGCGCGGTCACGTCGCTCCCCGAGGCCGCCGAGGCCATTATCGGGTCGATGAGCGTCCGGTGCGTGCAGACGAAGAGGATCCCGTTCTTGGAAGGTGGCGGGACTTTGCCCTTGACGATGAGCCGGACGCCGATCACCTTGTAGAGCAGCGGGACGTACTCGACCGGGCATGGAAGCGCCACCAGGATGCGGAAGAAGGCCAGGAGGAAGCCGGCGGGTAGCCACAGAAAGGTGACCAGCGCCACGAACGGCGTCGGCCTCTGGACCAGCCTGCCGTCGTGGAAGATAATCTTGCGCGCGAGTTTGTGAGCTGGAACGGCGTCGGCAGGCTGGCTAGGAACAATGTAAGCTTCCTGCAAAGCCGAAAAGGAAAAAAGAGAGACGACTTTATTAGTTCTGGTGAGACTCGGAAGTTCCACATCCGTGGATGAAATAAAGCCAGAAGACGACGGAGACAACGAAGACAACGCGGACTTGACACCAACAACCATACAACGAAATCAAAGAAAAAGAAAGCCAGGCGACGAGTTGCTCCAAAGATCACAGACTAGCATAGCATGCACTGCAATATATGCATATGCTCCTGCTGACTACAGGCGAAAAGGAAGAGAGCTCAGAGAGAACGAGAAGTACCAACCTTGCAAAAAGCCATGAACGGATAATCAGAGCTGCGATCGCCAATCCCCAGGTCTGGCACCTCCTCACCGAACACGGCCTTCAATGCCCGCCTCTTGTTGACGCCAACCAAAACGCCGGGGCTCTTGACGAACCCCGTAGCGTACCCGCTCCTTGTCACTTGCAGCTCCGTCCCTATCACCTTGTCAGCGCCCAGGTATGTCGTGGCAAAGTGCTCCACCATCAGTCTCGGGCTGGCCGTGAGAATGTAGCGCTTGCCGCACGACGAGAAGACTCTCCAGGTGGAGCTGTGGACGTCCTCGGAGTAGAACTTGGGGAGAACTGCGCGAGCCACCGCTTCGATGTCCCGAGCTCTCTGGCCGGCGCAGGAGAAGAAGATGAGGACTTTGATGCCTGCTGCCTCCGAGACGAAGTGGTAGAGCAGCCACGCGACGGGGGCCATGACCATGAGGAGCACGCTTCTCAGGAGGCTGCCTCCTTCCAGAGCCACCAGCATGAAGTAAGGGAAGGAGCTCCGGCTGCGAACGCAGGAGCCATCCAAGTCGGCTACCACGCTCTGCTTCTCGCGGTTGTCGGCCGAGCAATTGTCGATCACGTCATACGGGTGCTCCATGTCGAACTCCCGCATTGCAACAACCATAGCTTTTCTACCTGCAAGCAAGCACGAGCAAGGCCGCAAACAGTAAAGGAATTCACATAAAGAGTGAAAGCAGTGAAATACCAGAATGTAGATTGGAAAAGCGAAAGCTCCTCGATCGACTTGTAACGCCCAAGTTGCTCTCCCGATTTCACGACCGGTCCCTCACATTCCAGAAGCTAAGTGCTCGGACCCATTCCGCGAAACAGCCAAATGCCGCACACTCTAAGAACACAAGTGACCGAGAAAGCAAGTGAGATCGAGAGAGCGATAGAAAGAGACAAAAGAGTAAGAAATCTAACGCATAAGGAGTGAGTGGAGGGAAGAGAACCAAACCCGGTGTTGTACAGGCGGAGCAGGAACTCGGAGCAGTGGAGTGACAGTAGAAGTGGCTTCGCTCCTCTCCTCTCTTCACCGTCTCGGCTCACACACCGGCTCCCTTTTCACCGCAAACGGCGTTGTATGGTGGAGCCATTTAATTCGTTGGTACGTCACCTGATGAGCATTCTCCAAAGTAGACCGCAGTTAATTACCACCAGACCAAACTTCGTGCCGGCTGAGCTCTCCCAAAACCATGCTTTTTACTGTCCCTTCTTTCTTGGCTTGATCAACCCGAACTTTATCCGCTGCGTCCTGTTGAGCTTCTTCCTGTTCGCCATATGTATCGGCACCTCACGGAACCCATGGTGTCCGCCATCCGAGTCTTTCATGTCCTGTGGCTTCACCTGGAGTAGACGATACCAGTATCTCGGTCGGGGCCGGTATCCTGGACCAACTATGGGCTCCCGAATCCTTAGAGTTCTCTTGCCGGCCGCGGCTGGCAAGCTGGAGCGACGCGGAACAATCTCCCTGCTTGACAGCCACCTCGGCTCCACAAACTTTACGCGCTCTAGCTCTGTGATGTCTTCCAGGGGGACGATTCTCACTTCACGGATGTTGGACGCTTGGAAAGGACCCCACTGTGCGCAGAAACCACGAGTCCGGATACTGATATCGCGTAGGAGTCTCTGTACCAGGCTGAGGAACTTTGAGTCGCGAACCGGCCAGAACAAGCCAACGTTGCTGGTGGCACCCAGCCAGCTCAAGTCTACGACCGCGCAGTGCCTCACCACCAGTGTTCCAGCGCAAGCTTTGAGATTCAGCCAGTCCTGGAGACCGAGCTCCCTCAGCCGGACGTGCCTCTCTACGCTCTGGAGGATAAGCTTCGTCTCGTTGATCTTGAGCTCCACCTGATCGCCGCTCGTCTTGACTGGCTCAAACGCACCCAGCTCGAGAGCCCTGCGAGGCACGGTACACAGCGCGAGACCCGTGACGAGCCTGTCCGTAGGAAGCAGTTCGAGCTTGCGACACATTTCCTCCTTCTGTTTGAGGTCCACTATCACGAACTGCCGCGACCTGTCTTCATTACTCACCACTCTGGTGCCAGGCTCGATGTGTGATATCGAGCCAATGAGCTCCAGCGCGCTCAGCATGGAATCATCGCATTCCTGGCAAGAAAAAAACTTATGAGTTTCCTGAGCGTAAGAGAAACAAAATATCTTGGGAATCACCAAGAACGTAAACTAATGGAGGACAAGAGTGAATCACCAAGAACATAAACTAATGGATGAAATGCCAGAGAGGAATCTAGTCTCCTGGGCGGCGATGATGCATGCCTTTGTCCACACTGACGCTGCCACAGTGAAAGGGAGGACAAGATGAAGAGCATGGATAGAGAAGCATAGGAAAAACTGAAGCATCTAATGGATAAATTAATGTGGATGATCCATCTATGACAAAAAAAGGACGATGATCGAAGAAAATGCACAGCAAAGATCCAACCAAGCACAAGAACTCACAAGAAATCTAGAACCGCGAGCAAAAGAACGATCAAAATACCTGCCATAGCACGTCTTTCTTCTCGCTTCCCAGGCTCTTGAGAATTTCCAGCATGCTATCACACCACACGCGGCCGACGGCGTCCCTAGGCCCCGCATTGTAGAGCACTGGCACCTCCTCGGAAGGAATGTAGACGAGCTTGAGCGGCCTCACGAGCTTCATCTCCGATGGATCGAGACTCGCGAGCCGAGCGGCCTCTCCCAGGAGCGCGGGATCCTGGAATCGACTCACCGGCGGCTCGCTGTCGATGATCTTCTCGGCCTGGTGCCGGAGGAGCGGGACAAACTTGGTGGAGTAGCATCGCCGCCATCGCCATCGCGAGCGAGATGGGAGGGAAAGGAGCTTAAAACCCATCCTAACCCCCAGGGGTTAGGGTTAGGGCAAAGTTCACTGTGGGCAATACAAGGCATAGATCCTGGGGCTCGATCGGTCGATCAGGCAAGAAATTCGAGCTTGTAAGCGTTGATCTGGTGGCGGTGCGTTGGTCCGAGCTTGCTAGATGTGGTTTGAGGCGGATTTTTTCTTTTGTAGCCTTGAGGATCACTGTAGAGGTCATGACCGGCATTTCCTTCCTCGAAGATTTTATAGGAAGTAAGCATCAAAGTTTTTTCTCATTCTCTTTCCTTTTTCTCGCGCTTACGTATCATCGCTGCGTTCTTTAGGCACAGCATCGCTACCAGCGGAGCTCCAACAAAACTATTCGCTTATTCGGCAGCTCGATGAGCAACAAAATGGTAATTCTTTTCACTTGTTAGAGTCTTCTCTTCCTTACGTGATTTTCTCGTAGAGCTTCAAAGACAAATGCATGGATGCTGTGCTCACGGCCTGGAAGATGTCAAGCAAGTTTTAAAAGCTGGAGGAGCCGCCGCGGAAGCTGTGGCGAACAAATACGCAAGCAGCATTGCCTCGGTGCACAAGACCTGTGTGGATGTCGCAAACGAGAAAGTAGCACTCGCTCTTTCAACGTATGACATGGTACGCTCTCTATCGGCTTATAGCTTTCTTTCTTTCTTTCTCGCATTTAGAAAGCTGCTGTGTGTCAAGGTCGACAATTACATCCAGCGGCTTGACAAGTATCTCAAAAAGTACAAGGAAGACTGTGAGCAAGGTACAAACTCCACGCGTTACGTGGTCTCGTTTTGTGACATAATTTGGGGATTGTAAAAACACCAGCAAAGGATTTGCAAGGAGGAGACGAACAACAAGCGGATGTTGGAGCTACAGGGTAAAGAAGTGTTCCTTCCAAGCTATTTTTCGGCTCACTAGTTCGTGCAGGGAGGACGATCGACAAAATCCCAGCACAGATCTCGACATACCTGTCGATCCAAACGAGCCAACGTATTGCCTCTGTAACCAAGTCTCATACGGAGAGATGATCGCTTGCGACAACCCGGACGTAAGTTTCAATCGACCAAGCACTTGTTCATCGACTAAGTTTTCATTGTCTTCTTTCCACGCAGTGTAAAATCGAGTGGTTTCACTTTGAGTGCGCAGGAGTTCGCGAGCGGCCTAAAGGCAAGTGGTACTGCCCGGACTGCTCGCAAATGAAGCGCCGCCGAGCAAGATAGATCACAGTCTGGAGGCTGTTTTCTATATTTTACAGCGCCACGATTTGATCAATCAAAAGATTGCACAACAAAATCTTGACTTCATTGTGTATTTACAAAGGTCTGCTAGGAGTATCATCTAGTCCACTTTGGAACGCTTGTTGCTGAGATGACTCTGCATAATCCTGGTCGTTTTCTATGCCAGCCTTGGATACCAAGCTCAGCATTGATGTTCGCGTCCAAGACTTGGTTTTGAGGCTCACTCTGGATGAGAAAGTGGACATGATGGTCATTCCCCGGCTGCAGGTTTCGAGTGCGAGTTGATAGAAGGACAACACCAGCAGCATGGTTAATGTCTAAGATGGTGGAGGAAGTTGTTGCTATGGAATCAAGTTATGAATGGGGTTTTGCAGATTGGGCCAAGAGTCTGGGCAACCAGGAGTTCTTAGTTATCAATGGTGTCAAGAAGCTCCCCGTAGTCCAGTTTGGTGGTCTTGCTCTGGCTGTTACAAAGGGTTGTGTCATTCAACCCCACACTCTTCTACTCAATTGGAGAGGGTGTCAAGTTCTAGAAATCTTTGTCTAGCTAGACCAACGAACTTATCCATGAAAATTCATGCAATACGTAACATGCAGTTGAGGTGACCTGGTAATGTCCATGGTTGAGGTGGCAACCAAGGCGGATGCTGTGGTTTTGATGGTCAGCCTAGACCAGTCCTAGGAGAGGGAGACCTTCAATAGAGCAAGTTTGTTTCTTCTGGAATGTAATTTCAATTTGTCTCTAGTGTTGCAAATGCCATCACTTGTCCTATCTATGGACCTATTGATATCTTGGGTTTCAAGGACAATAGTGTTATTTGGATCATGTATCCTGGTCAGTCTAGAGGTTCTCATGTCTTTTTTGGAGCTTGCAATCTAGGTATTCCTTCTCTTTCTTTCCTTCTTTGCAAATTTAGAATTTACATGGATTGAATCCAAAACTCTGTCAGGATATCTAGGGAGAAGCTATCGATTCTACACCACACCATTCTACAACTTTGGCAATGGATTGTCCTACTTAACTTACTCATTTTCTAGGCTCTTTCAGTAGCAATAGAGGAAACTCCTAAGACTGTCTAGCAATAAAGAGGAGCTAAGCTGAATCTGGTTGTTTTCATTTACCAGTGGAAACTTGCAAACAGCATCTTGTTCTGGAAGTAAACAATCTCGGGCCTAGGTCTAAAAGCCACTTGGTGCTGATCTTCTCGGCTCCTCCACCAGTGGAGGGCGCTCCTCTCAAGTAACTCATTGCATTCCACAAGGTCTATTTGGAATCAGACACGCCTCAAAGGCTCATTTTTGGCATCGATCCAAGCGTCCGGAGAAATGGAAAGATTTCTACACTCTGGTCGACACAAGCTACTTGTTGGCAATGCTTTTCACGTTCTTAATGTCTCCAAGACTGAAGAAAAGGAACTAGTTTCTTTGCATACTTTGAAGCTGACTCAAAGAAGTTTCTTAGCTTGATTGATTGATTCATTGAATAAGCTGAGATCTCCATGCTCAAAAGCTGAGCCTGGAAATCAAGAGTGGCTCCTCCCACATCCACAGTACCCAGTTTCTCGTCCTCATCCCAGCAAACCCATTGGTAAGCCACCTCTTTTCAAAAGTTCTAGCCAGCGTTTCATCCTTTTCCTTGACGACTTGGCTCCATTCGAGTAGTATATAAAGCCTCAAGCTTAGCCATATTTGCTGGACAAGGTACCTCGCACTCACTTTGCTGGTATCTTCCACCAAAGAGTGATTGTAGAGCCACCATATCTCTGTTAAGATTGTCCTCCTCAACAAATTCCACACATAAACAGTGTGGTGACTTTCCCATTCCTCTCCCTCAAGTCCCTGTCCAAAGAGAGCTTGTTTCCAATTCACTTGAATCTTTCCCTTGGAAAAACCACTCAACTTGCATAGGATCTCTACAGCCCAGTACCAAACAGTGGCCTGAAAGTTTGAGAAGAACATGTCAACTAGCATGTTGGTGATGTCTGCTGGATCAATTTGAGGCTCTCTCTTGCCAGTTTCCAAGCTGTGGCAAACGACCAAAGTGCTAGTTCTTCGGATGAGGATGAGACGATGTCCATTAGGACCAAGGATCGGGAGTGAGCCAAGGTGGACATCTCCCAGCCACACTTCTCCGTTTTTCTTGCAAACTTGGTCAGCTTCACAAAGTTCTTGGTAGAGCTTGTTTTTGAATTCTTGTGCGTCATGGGTGCTCATCAAAGCGACACGAATGCAGCGGGGGTACACTGCAACTGTGGTGTGCCATTCATTGTTGTTGGTGGTGGTGGTCGCAACCATCGCCACACTCTTTCTTTGTAGGTGTCGGTTATTGTCAGCTGAATGGCACGAATATTCTTAACTGACTTTAATCATAATGATTAAAACAAACAACAACCTTTTAATAAACGAAAAAGTGAAAGTCATAGTATGTTGTTATTAACAAAGCGTGAACTTTTAAATCTTTAAGTATTATTAAACATAGAAGTAGAAATGAAGTAACAAGTGCTTGTTCAAAACTAACAATCCCAAGATTCACTTGGAGTTGAAAACCTTGAGACAGGCGTGATGTAAACGCTGTGATTGAGTCCTCTTCATCCAAGTAGCTTAAAGTATGGCTAAGTTAAATTTAGTAAGCTTATTTTATGGCAGATTAGTTCCAAGGACTAGTGAGTGGTGTAGATGGTGATTTACTCTACGTTAGAGTGGTAATTTTTCTTTAGGTTCTAACACCGGCTAGATCTCCATGTCAACGATCATGATTGAGCTCTACCAGAATGTTTTTGGGCTTGAGATCCCGATAAAACAAGCATGCAAGAATTTCATTCCTGGAGTAGATCTGATCCTTTAGATGCATGAAAGCTTCCCAAGATGGCTATGCACTTTGGAGTCTTGCTAAATCCTACCATTTGATTTACTTTGGAATGCTTGAGACTTGCCAGAGCTTTCATCTCCTGTGAAAGCAAAATCTTCACTGCAAACTTACATTGAAGTCACTTAGCTGAGTACACATGTTCATACATAGCTCCCTTCTGCAATGAGTTTCCCCAGTTTCAGCTGGTCGAAATTGACAATTCGATGAGATCCTCAAGTGTGCCACTGTTTGGAACTTTGTTTACCACTTCCAATCTAGCTTGTTGATGCTGGAAACATCGCAAGCATACCTTGGTTGAGCTGTTGAAACTCTTGCATTTGAAAGAATCACCACCACCACCACCACAAGGATTAGATTCCTTTGGGAAAAATCTCTTCTCCTTCTTCCCATCTTGTTCTTCTTCTTTGTCGCCAAGGAGTTCTTTTGGGTCGTCAGTCACAATCAAGACATTGTTATTGTGGCAATAATTGATGGCCAAGACACACACTCCTCCATAACCTACTCTTCTCTTGCCTCTTTCACACTAAATGCTTTTGGAAATCTTGGTCTACCCAATGGCAATGCCCATTCCACTGTCCATAACCCCCAGGAGCAATAGCAGCTGTTGAGTCCTCTATCATCCATATCTCTACTCTCTTGCTGGAACGTTCTTCAACAGCCCTTTGTAGAACATCTTGTGTAGTGACACAATCACTCCTAGATCCTTGCAGGTAATGTTTCTGCAAAAGTATACAAAATAGTGGGATCTCTGGAAAAGGCAAATTTGTTGACAGTTTTGTTAAAGGTAAAGATGATATGGCATGTAATTATGCCTATGTGACAGTAGATTCTATGTATATGTACCCATCCATATACAATTGATATATAGGAAAGTTCTTCTTCCTTATCTCCACTGCTTTCATGGTATTAAAGCAATTGGCTCCTTGATCCTAAGCATGGTGCTTGTTACCCATAAGGCCAATAACAAAGAGGAGGATTGCATCAAAGCACTAAACTGTGCAGAGGTGTTGAGCAACAAGTAGCAGTAAAAAGAGCATAAAGTTAATGAAAGATTAAGAGATTTTAACAATCCACATAAAAAATTGGGTCAAAATTCAAAAACAATGCATAAATTTTTTTTGCAGAAATTTCCAGTAATTAAGAAAAATGCTTATGGAGATTCAAATGCCTGATAGTAATAAAAGTGGGAATCTGGCAATTCACAGCAGAGACCACATGCTAGTGATATGCAAGCAAGGCCAAAACCAAGAACCAAGTTTTAGGTAGTTGATTGATGAGTTTTTTATATATATTGTTCTCATCTAGCTAGTATGATTCAGGTTTAGATTTAGGCTTGGATCAACAGCCTAATAGTGAATGAAAGTGTTAAAGGTATAGATGACGTGGTATGTACGTGGTAGTAGTTTTTATGTATATAGTAGTGGAATAAAGAAGAAGAATTCTATATGTCAACTGTATATGGATGGGTATATATACATACATAATTACCATAATTACTACATAATTACATGCCACATCATCTCTACTGCATCTTAAACTTTGCAAACCACTTGAACTATACACTCTTTTTTGCAAACAAGAATATAATCTAAACGAGAGAAGTTTGAAGCCGACCTTCTAAGGAGTTATTGGAGATCCCATGCATGATGCCAGCAGCTGCATCACGTAGATCCAACCTTTCTCAACGTTGATCAATCCTTCCCTAATAGCAGTCTTCATGGCTTGCCATATCCCATTCCCGGCCAGGCTGCACCAAGTTAGTAAGATCTGAGTGACTGTGCCAATCACATTGGCAGTCAACCACGAGGACAGCCACCCATGCATCTGCAATCTTCTTTTACACATGAGTATCGAGCACCTTGACCCAGAAACCAGCTGAATCCATAGAAGCTGCCTGTCCTCCTCGATGTCCGACACCAAGCCTGCTCCTACTTCAAGCTGGAGAAACTTTGGTCAGCGATCTGTAGCATTGAAGCAGACGGTCACTCATCCCGAAAAGATCAACACCCACTAGAGGATGGATCCACACTTACTGGTTCATGGTCACCATCAGTGGTAGCAGCACCGGCGCTAGAGCATGCTGCAAGACGCCATGAGCGACGCGGTGTTTCCTGACGATGTCAGCCGCGAGGGGCTTGCTGAGAATGATCGCAAACGGATGATCCATCTGCGGGCCGGGGAGGCAGAGGATCATTCATGGCCGCCAACTTGCGCCGCTCGCTCCTCTGCCCCCTTCAAAGCCTGTTTATGTCTTTGGTTCTCAGTAAAGGTTGACTTTAGTACGTAGAATATGCTTGACGCTTTGAGCTTTTGACCAACTGTTGACTCCCACATTGACCATTTTAGAAACAATGAAAGAAGTGTATTGTATGGAAGATCATGGACATCACTTCCTAAACGGACAAGGTCCTCCTCCTCCGACGATGCCATCGTTCCCTACCAACATCCGGTACTTGTCCCTCCTCGTGAGATTCGTGCACTGGTAGCCCAGCGACTCGGCCAGCATCCTCTGGACGCGGTTGGCCACCTCGTGGCTGGGCCTGCCACCGCCCACACACGTCTCCTCCGCTGCCAGTGGCGCCAGGAACCGGACCTCGTATCCCGGCCTGGGATTCATGAAGAAGAAGAGTGGATCTAGCGCCTTCCAGCCGCGCGCAGTAGTGGCATGGAACATCGTCAGGCTGCTCGTGACCCCGACCGGGACGATCCGGTCCGTGAGCTCCGCGAACAGGGCGCTGAATCGCAGCAGGAATGGCTCGCGGCAAGTGGTGCCCTCGGGGCACACCGCCAGGTCGCCCGTGTCCAGCAGCCGCGCCATGGTCCGCGCGTCGTGCTCGCGGCACCGGGTGAGCCGGGCGGTGCGTATCGGGGACAGCACCTCCGACACGGGGCTGACCGAGTACGTGACCGTCTTGACGTGGCGCATTCGGGCGTAGGAGATGAAGACCGGGTCCAGCAGCGACCGGTGCGTGCAGACGAAGAGCACGCCGCGGTGTGCCGTGCGGCGCGTTGGCTCGGTCTCGTCCGTTGACCCGGCGGCGCCCGGCGGTATGCAGCCGGCGACGCGGATGGAGATGCCGAGGAGGGCCTCGGCGGGGAGGGCGAGGCGGCTGGGTAGGGCGAGGCCGACGACGACGCGTATGATGGCGAGCGGGAGCGCGAGAGGGATCCAGAGCCCGATGGCCAGGCAGTGGAGCGGCGTGGGCGATTTGATGAGGCGGCCGTCGTGGAAGACGAGCGGCTTGATGTAGTCCTTCTTGGGCACCGTCGCGCAGGGGGGCGAGGGATTGGATCGAGCATCCAGGCATTTCTATGAGAGGGAGAAGAAAGATCAGAGAATTCAATGGATCGATCGTGTGGCTATCCATACCTTGCAAACGCCCAGGAAATCGGTGCCGCTACCGCTTCCAATCCCAATGCTGATTGGAGCGCGATCGCCACCGAAGTGTTTTTGAGCTAGCTGAGCTTTGTTCTCGCTGCAAACGACCATATTGATCAATCCAGTGCAGTAACCCTTGCTTGTGATGCCCAGCTTGGATCCAATCGCGCTCGCGTCAAGGTAGTGGCTCGCCAGAGGCTCCACCATCAGCGCTGGCAAGCTCGTCACCACCATTCTCTTCCCGCAAGCCTTGAACACCCGGAAGGTCTCGGGGTTTAAATCCTCGAGGAAAAACTTAGCGAGAACTGCCCGCCCCACGGATTCCACCGCCGAGGCCCTCAATCCGGCCACCGCCACGAAGCAGAGAATCTGGAGCTCCAGCGCGGGATGGACGAGGCAGCCAGTGATCCACGCGAAGGGAAGAATGAAAAAGAGGAGGAGCGCTCGTAGGGGGCTCCCGGCCTCGATCGCGACGAGCATGAAGTATTGAAACCAGCTCGGGGATTTGAGCAGAGCCCCCTCGAGATCGATCACGATGCTATCGTCGTCGCCGGCCGCCGCATTCTCCACTGGCTCCAATGGATTGCTCTTGTCCCTGGGAAGCGTCAAGAAAATCATATTTGGACCAGTGAATCGATTGAGGGTCGCCTCTCCCTGGAGAATTGAGCCGAGAGCCACGATCCAGAAGCACCACGGCGGTACCAATTGATTGCCCAGAATCAATCAATCGACATGGGACGTATATCCATGGATGGAGCTTAGATCTTCCTCCCTATTATGCGAGTGGGCAGTGGGCTAGAAAACAAAAATCAGTGGAGGAGGGAGTCTTTTCAAAGAGGAGTCGTTGGGAAGAGCAAATTGAGGCTCGATCGATGGACGGTGACCGAACCTCGAGTTTTGGAGGAAACCATGACATAAACGCTGGGCTTTGACTTGGACGCGCTAGTCCACAAACGATCTTTCTATTCCTATTCCTTCCTTTTTTTTTACAGCGACGAAGATTGTAGCAGCCGAGGCTGCTTCTAGCTTCAGCTTGGACAATGATGAGAAGTATTTGGCGAGTATGTTTACAACGAGGATAGCGAGTGCAAGAAAAGGTTGGTTACCCGTGGAATTATTTCTAACTTGGTTTATTGTCTCTACCAGGTGACGTCCAAGGAGTCCTATCATCGTTTGGTTGCAGGTTGAGGACACGTTTCCCGCCATACAATACCTCTCACGATACAAGTGAATGTAAAGCTTCAAGTGAGTGAGTGTGTTGGAGGCATGGACTTCAAAGCGGCAAGAATTCGCCCCAACTTATTAGCAATAAAAAAAGAAGCAACTTAGAAGACTGAATCCTGTATTAAAAATTATGGAAAAGGAATTAAATTATAAAGTACTTATGACATATATAATTTGAATAATTAAAAATTTGATATGGGTTTGTAGTAACCCTAATAGTAATGTTATTCTTACTTATTAATCCAGTTGATCAAATAAAAATTTATAATTTATAAACATAAGATTAATCTTATTGCATATCAACCATTAGATGGTAGAATAAAAATAATATACTAGAAAGTGTTTTTTTATAAATTAAAAATACAAGATTGATTTAAATGAATAACAACCGTTAGATGATAAAATATCCTAGAATGTCCAAATATATTTTAGGTAAACTCCAATAAATACATACAGAAAATTTTACTTTCTTGAAAGTGTGTTCCAATTAAAGTAAAGTACATTATACATGCTTTCTATTTATTTATGTTATTGGATTGTGTTTAGTTCTAGAAATAATTGAGTTTAGTTGGTCCATTTGCCACTAACTGCAGCAAGGATTGCAGCTCTAGCCAGAGCTCCAGCTTGAAGCACAGTGAGCTCCCATGCAATAGGTGCTGATGACTGAGGCCCAGTAGGCAAGCTCCTCTTGGCTGCACACCACTCAACCCAAATGCCAATCTCCAACACTACATACCAACACCTCACCAACCACTTGGAATCACCCAGCCTCGGCACAAGCCTCAAACTAGTCACCGCAAGTTCTACCAGGCACTGCATTAAGCTATAACCCAGCATTCCGTACCCAGGATCACGGCTCTGACCTGGTAATGAGCTCTCCAACCTCAATGGCAATCCTGAAGACACTACTCCTACTACATTCCCCACCAGCACTACATAAGCTGCCCATATTCCTACACTTCCCCATGCAGAATCTCTCTTCAGACCAAAAGGATGGACTATCCCAAACACTGTGAGCATCCAGAAGGCTGCTGCTATGAGCAAACCGACGATCTTAACCGTGCAATCCACATGGTAGAGCTTCAGGTCTCGTCTCGGCCTCACCACAAGTATGGAGGTTTTCCGGCCGTTAACATCGCCAATTTCTCGGCCCTGGACCTTCCAAAGCCATAAGTCCGCGAACTGTGTGACACCGTTGCTGCCCAGCCGAAGTGATCTGACTCCTCTTCTAGCTCCCAGGCATGATACGAAAGGATCCAACCCGAACACTAAAGACAAGAGCAATATCAAGGTCAACTCTGTCATGGCTACCAAAACCACAGTTGCCGCATTCCCAAACCATTGGAGGTTGGGTTTGTCAGAGAGTTGGACCTTGCCCAGGCTCCAGTCCACCAAATCTGATGTTCTTCCTTTCTGGCTGGAATCCAACGTGGCCAAGCTCTCCGCTACCATTCTGGCAAGAGCACTAGCACCAAGCTTGTCAACCCCAAACAAGTACGTGCACTGCTGGTCTTCTTCGAGCATCCATTGGTAGAGCTGGCTCGGCCCTTCCAGCATCATAGAATTCAAAGCCAAGCCTCCTGAAGTGTCTCGGATTACTCTGGCGTGCAGATCCTGCATCGTTCCCTTTCCATGAACATCACACTGGTAGGAGGGAATCTTGCAGCATTGTGGATCTGATGCAACAGCTGCTGCTCCACTGACGATAGGGGTAGGATCTCTCCCAGTGCCTTTGAAAGTAATGCTCGGAATGTGCCAACAAGTGCAGCCATCAGCTGAATTTGCTTCATACTTGCTCCAAAGCGGGACCAGAACGCAACAGCTGCCAAGAACCCAAGTGTTATGTGCAACCCAGTGCACAGTGTTAGGATTCTGTCCATGGACGTTTACTCCTACAATGGTACCATTGTCGCCCACATGGGAAATCAGAGCTCCGTGATTGTTCTGAGCCCTCAACCTTGTTGTACCGAACAAATCTGCCAAGCCCATCTCTGAATCCAGCCTTCCCCTCGCCAGGCATAACGCTACACTCGCTGCAGCAGCCAAAGTGCTTAGTCCAGCCTGTACAAAGTTGTAGCTGTTCCTGACCTCTTCAACACTTGCCATCACTTAGAACTGCGCTATGGCTATGGCTAAGAGGCTAGGAAATCCACTTGTTCAAGTATTACGGTTCCAGTACAGCATCTTCAGCTTTGCCAATTCGTTTCTTAAAGGTTGGTGATAGCTATAGCAATAAAGAAATGAGACCCACAATCCAGCACCAGAAGCCCACCACGGTACGGATTGATCCCCCAGAATCAATCTACTGTAACGCATCCATGGATGGAGATTCTCTCTTTTTCTGTTCGATCGGGTAATCTTTGGAGGAAACTTGACTGGACGCACGAGTCTCCTCTCTTTCTATACCGGGGGGGGGGGGGGGGGGGGGGGGCGGATTCTTTGGAGGTAGCGCTTGGTTTTGGAAAGAGTCTCTCGCATGATATAAAAACTTACGTGATGGAGTTCTCCACTCTACTACTAGTAGACCGTAGTTTTTGCTAGCGAACAGCATATCTTACTTTTGTAGCAGCCTCGACCGAGATACCTGCAAAGAAAAACACAAAAATGGAAGTGGTTCCTCACACGAAGAAAAGAAATACGCACTTCGCCAACCAACGTGAACTTGAAGGGCTCCCACTGCTCGGCTCGGATTCCAGCAGCGGCAGTGGCGACCATGTCCGGCTGGAGATACTGGAAGTCAAGCTCGAGGAGAGTCAGGATCCTCGCAGGCCCACGCACTAACATCCAGCTCGATTGCAATCCTTGGAACAATCTTCCGAGGAACCAAGTGCCACAAAGAGCAAAGCCGGAGTTGTCACTCCTCCATCGCCGCCGCTCGTTTGCATGCGATTCGTCCACCACAAACAACCGCGCGTGTCGAATGGGTGGTAAGTGACTGGGCTGACTCGGGAGCAGCCTCTAGAATCCTCACCATCGAGCCACGACCAAGGAAGTTGAGCGAGTCCTGGTGATGAAAAGGACTTGCTTCCATCGCCGAGCAACTGGCCAGCTCCCCGCCCGCCGCTAGCGAGGATCGTGGAACTTCAAGTTGATAACTCCGTCAGTGGAGGCATAGACCACCCGGAGCGCGTGATCTTGTGGCCCATTAAGTCGAGTCCAGCAGCCAGTAAGGGGATTGGTGACGATCAGCTGAGCGAGCAAACCCGGCTGCCCACACGTCGAGGGAGCTCCTTCGGGAAGTTGGCAGCGCCAAAGGGCTCCACGGGCTTGCGATTTTGCCGCAATTAGAGGGATCAACTTTCTGATTGCGTTCTCCGCTGAGCATTTCGTCGTCAGTTTCTTCTTTTCGTTTCTCAACTATTCTAGAATAGTTGAGTAATTGAAGAATTCTACTCCAGACCTGGTCCGTTCTAGATCAACGACTCCCAGGACACACAAATTTGATACGTCTCCACCACGCCGACTAATCGATGATTCCGAGCTCTTTGTGTGGCTCAACGTCCTGGTGAGCTGCGCAAGGAACAGCTAACGCAGCAGACCAGTGTCGGGAAATTGTGGCCTCTCGCTGGCTCGCTAAGTAGCTTATTAACTTATTAAGCAAGTTAATCGAACGGACTTGCGCAGCATTGAATCCATCTCCGCGAATTCCCTCGCGGATGACACCAATCCCCCGCCCGCCGACTGTGATTCCTGCCAGTTCCAAAACGTGCTGATCAATCCCAGCACCACCACCAGCGCCACGAATCCCCACGAGAAGAAATGCCCAACGAGATCCGGAAAAAATAAAGTTTCCAAAAAACATCTTCTATTAATTCGAACATCAAGATTAAGAGACTGAATATCCTTGTGCAAAGCAGAAAGATGTTATCAAGAGTGCACTTCTATATTCTTAACAACTTAAGTAAAAGATTAATAAAGCATTATACCTGTAGTGACTAGATGATACTTATTTAAATTAAATAAGAAAAATACAGAATTATTAAAAATAATTTGCTATGTGTTATCACTTGGTTTTTTTAATAGTAATGTGAACTGGTCTACACAAAATGATAAGCCCTTCGCCCCCGAAAGCTTCCGATAATGCTGATATTAATAACCACGTATTACAAGGTCTTGTTCAATTGCCATTGATCAATAGTAATTATCGAGCTTTGCAAAATGTATGTCCATAGTTTGCAAACGCGCTTCCAATCCCAAACCTGATTGGAGCGCCGCGATCGCCACCGGCTCTGTTCACCACCTTGATCGATCCAGTAATTAACCCCTGATGATACCCAGCTTGGATCCATTCGAGCTCGATAGGTAGTGGCTTGCCAGAGGTTCCACCATCAGCGGCAAGCTCGTCACCACAAACCTTGAACACTCCGAAGGTCTCGGAGTTTAGATCCTCTAATCAGAGCCTGAATTCCGCCACCACGACGTAGCAGAGAACCTGGAGAGCGGGATGGACGAGTCAGCCAGTGATCCACGCGAACGGAAGAACGAAGAAAAGAAACAGGGGCTCAACACTGGGGCTTGGACTTCCACCAAGCGATCTTTTTCTATTCCTTGTAATTCTACGCTCAGAGTTCTCTGAAGTGGCGGTTCCCGAAGAAACAGTAAACTATCGATCTTTACCTTACACAAGCCTTACTTCCGCAGCCTCGGCCGAGACACCTGCACAGAAAAACGGTTAATGACAAGAAGAAATGGAAAGAATGGCGCACAAAAACCTGGCACTCCGCCGAGCAACGAGAACTTGAACGGCACAGTGTAGGCTTGATGTAGTCCTTCTTGGGCACCGTCGCGCAGGGGGGCGAGGGATTGGATCGAGCATCCAGGCATTTCTATGAGAGGGAGAAGAAAGATCAGAGAATTCAATGGATCGATCGAGTGGCCATCCATACCTTGCAAACGCCCAGGAAATCGGTGCCGCTACCGCTTCCAATCCCAATGCTGATTGGAGCGCGATCCCCACCGAAGTGTTTTTGAGCTAGCTGAGCTTTGTTCTCGCTGCAAACGACCATCTTGATCAATCCAGTGCAGTAGCCCTTGCTTGTGATGTCCAGCTTGGATCCAATCGCGCTCGCGCCAAGGTAGTGGCTCGCCAGAGGCTCCACCATCAGCGCTGGCAAGCTCGTCACCACCATTCTCTTCCCGCAAGTCTTGAACACCCGGAAGGTCTCGGGGTTTAGATCCTCAAGGAAAAACTTAGCGAGAACTGCCCGCCCCACGGATTCCACCGCCGAGGCCCTCAATCCGGCCACCGCCACGAAGCAGAGAATCTGGAGCTCCAGCGCGGGATGGACGAGGCAGCCTGATCCATGCGAAGGGAAGAATGAAAAAGAGGAGGAGCACTCGTGCCTCGATCGTGACGAGCATGAAGTATTGAAACCAGCTCGGGGATTTGAGCAGAGCGCCCTCGAGATCGATCACGATGCTATCTAGCATCGTCAACGCCGGCCACCACATTCTTCACTGGCTCCAATGGATTGCTCTTGTCCCTGGGAAGCGTCAAGAAAATCATATTTGGACCAGTGAATCGATCGTGGGTCGCCTCTCCCTGGAGAATTGAGCCGAGAGCCACGATCCAGAAGCACCAAGGCGGTACCAATTGATTGCCCAGAATCAATCAATCGACATGGAACATATATCCATGGATGGAGCTTAGATCTTCCTCCCTATTATGCGAGTGGGTAGTGGGCTAGAAAACAAAGATCAGTGGAGGAAGGAGAGTTTTTTCAAAGAGGAGTCGTTGGGAAGAGCAAATTGAAGCTCAATCAATAGACGGTGATTAAATTTCGAGTTTTGGAGGAAAATATAACATAAACACTGGGCTTTGACTTGGATGTGCAAGTACATGCAAACAATCTTTCTATTACTATTCCTTCCTCTTTTTTTACAGCGACAAAGGACGGAGGGAGATTGTAGCAGCCGAGGAGCAGAGTCAAACTTCAACTTGGACGACGATAAGAAGTATTTGGTGAGGATGTTTACAACAGGGAGAGCGAGTGCAAGAAAAGGTTGGTTACCTGTAGAATTGTTTCTAACTTGGTTTATTGCTACCAGGTGACGTCGGCATCTCCACATCTAGCATCGTTTGGCTGCAAGGAGTTTGAGGGTTAAGAAGATGTCTCCCGCCATACAATACCTTCTCACGAATGTAAGGCTTCAAGTGAGTGAGCTTGTTGGAGGCATGGAGCTTCAAAGCTGCATGAATTCACCCCAACTTATATAGCAATAAGAGAAAAAAACACGCTGCAAAATGCAACTGATGTATTAGGAATTAAATTATAAAATACTTATGACATGTATAATTTGAATAGTTTTCTTAGTGTTATACTAAGAAGTGTTTACGAAAGTTTATAAATTATAAACAATACATGGTAGAATGTTTTAGATTATTCAACCATATTCTAGATATATTCTATTAAGCAGACCAATAATTAAAACATTGCTACTCATTGCATGTAGTTATAAGTATGTTTATAAATTATAAACACAAGATTAATTTTATTGCATTTCAACCATTAGATTTATAAATTATAAATACAAGATTAATCTAAATGAATAACAACCGTTAAATGGTAAAATATCCTAGAATATCCAAGAATATTTTAGAAATATTCACTACCATCTTAGTCCCCTATAGGTTTGCTTAAGCAAACCAAAAATACAGAATGTAAAACATGTTCTACTTAAAGTAAAGTAATTTTCAAACATTAGCATTAACATATTGTACATGGTTTTTATTTATTTCTATTATTTGATAGAATAATTGAGTTTAGTTGGTCCATTTGCCACTAACTGCAGCAAGGATTGCAGCTCTAGCCAGAGCTCCAGCTTGAAGCACAGTGAGCTCCCATGCAATAGGTGCTGATGACTGAGGCCCAGTAGGCAAGCTCCTCTTGGCTGCACACCACTCAACCCAAATGCCAATCTCCAACACTACATACCAACACCTCACCAACCACTTGGAATCACCCAGCCTAGGCACAAGCCTCAAACTGGTCACAGCAAGTTCCACCAGGCACTGCATTAAGCTATAACCCAGCATTCCATACCCAGGATCACGCCTCTGACCTGGTAATGAGCTCTCCAACCTCAATGGCAATCCTGAAGACACTATTC